TTGGACAATCGACTCCTCAAAGTTCTGATAAGGCATTTTATATTAGCGTGGCCGCCGAATGATTAACTAACTTGACGAATTCTTGGATTTCTACACGCTGTAGCCGCTCAGGCGTACCTTAAGCATGGCGACAACAGTAGTCAAACCGGCTACGTCCTCTAGGTGGCGTAGAGCTTCCCACTCGAAAAAGGTCAGTGGAAGTTTTCATGATCCAGCATCCCTCCCTCAGCGCCCTGGATAGGCAGGACGCTCATTTTTGGTAAAAGAACTACGAAGTGCTACCGGGTAATACCCATTACATAGCTTAAACTAATGGACTTACGAGGAAACATTAGGGAACACGCGTTAATCGAACGCGTATTTAAATATAATCAGATTAACTTACATTATAAATTATTTTGAGTTTTATATCATAAGAATGAGTGGTTTCCAAACATCGTGGGAGCCACCCAATGTAAAGGTTGCATCCTATTGGCTTATAATAGGCCTGATTTCCACTTAACAACAAGTAGGAATACGACACGCCATAGCGCTTTATCGGTTACAGCGCATGCCTTATTATGTAATATATATACTTAGCTAATTATACTTATGAAAGTGGTTGCTAAAATGCACCTTGCAGAATCTGTACGGCGCAACCCGTTACATGATTTTCACAAACTGAGCGATGCGACTATTTCGGCGTAGACGTCAATCCCTCGGATCAACTTGGTTTTGGATGCCATGTCAGGGAGCTCTTTTTCTCGTCCTTGAATTTGACGGACGTTTTTTACCAAATCTTGATGCGGCCTCAAGATGTTCCATTCACCGCCGTCAGCATGCCTAGTGGCATGCTTTGGGAGTGTATTGTCATGCGCAGTAGCTCAATCAAGAATGCCCCTGTCACTTTCAACCGCATGTTTTTCCACGTGCGTCGTTCATTTCGCGACTTTGCGCCAATTTATTTTGATGAAATCTTCGTGCATCGTATGGCGCAACATAATTGGACGTGCATCTTGGTCACCTTTGCAAATTTTCGAGGCGATTCGTGATAATAAACTGGACGAGATCATGAAGAAATGGATCTTTTTCGCTCCAGAGATCCCAGTGTTGGGTAGTTTTGTGAGCGCGAAGGGTTTTCGGTCTGATCCCGAGAAGATCTCATCCATCTGCTCATGGCGGTTCCAAAGGACTAGGAGCACCTTCAACAGTAGTTGGGTCTGGTCAACTACCTGCATCACTACGCTAAGGACTTTGCGCCAGAGATTCATCCATTGTCAGAGCTACTGAAGAAGGACGCCACGTGGGTGTGGCATCAAGAGCATCAGGATGCATTTGACGAGATCAAGAAGAGTCTCTCAACGCGCTCGTGTTAGCGCTGCCGAATCATGACGCGACCATTCCATGTCATCTGTGACGCGAGTGATTTTGCAATCGTCGGTGCGCTGATGCAACATGATGCCGCTGGGCGAAAACGCGTCGTCAGCTACCAATCTCGGCACCTATAGCCTGCCAAGTGTAACCATCCCGTTCATAACAAGTAGGCGCTTGCAATGCGCTATGCACTCGTAAAACGCTTCGTGTATATTTTCTTGGCGAACAGACATTAGCCATCTACACAAATCACGCGTCTCTGCATACCGCCACGAAGAACCCGCATCACGCCGGTTATTGTTCTTCGCGGAGTACGAGTTTGTCGTGCAAGTTTACAAGTCTGGGTCGACCAACATCATCGCCGGTGCGTTACCACGGCGTCCAGATCATAATCCTCGATCTAAAGCTTCTGTTTCCACCGCCCCAGATTCGGGCGATGATGACTGTGCGTCTTGTGGTACACTCGGTTCTGTCGAATTGTGGACTGCTTCATTGAGTGCATGCTCAGCCATAAAAAAATAAGAGAACTTAATGACGCAAACGAAGTAGGGTAGATACACAACACATCCCTTAAGACGCGATTGACCCGCTCAGTCAGACCATCTGTCTCAGGGTGGGCAGCAGTAACAACCATCGGGTGGGTGCCAAATAACTTGAGCAGCTGAGACCAAAATGCGGCAGTAAAGCAAGAATACTGATCCGAAACAATCGTGACAGGCATGAGATGATGCCGGAAGACCATGTCGACGAAAGAGCCGCTGTCCCCTCCGTAGTAATTAACGTCGCAACAGCTGAAAGATGCACCACCTTACTAAACAAATCAAGGATCACCAAAACGCCGGTGAGCCCCTGCGCATCGGTGCGTAAACCAAACACGAAATCCATGCTCACGGAGCTCCAAACCTCCGTGGCTATTGGTAGCGGGAAAAATGGCGTCTGTGACGACGGAGCTAGCTTCACACGGTGCAAACCTCACAAAAGCGAACCCACTTACGCACCCGCTCGTACATATGGGGCCAATAAAAGTCCCGACACAACGCAAGATATGTCTTCTTGCGACCCAAATGACCGCTTAACACACTGTCATGATTCTTATATTGGGTGCTTCGGCGAAGAACTTCGTCAAGGCGAACGGCGATACGCTGAGCTTCACAACGCTCAACCTAGTAGGTGATCTGGTTACCTCAAGGCATAACGCGAGATATGTGCGCAAGTGGAAGCCGAGAGAGACCGTAGCGCATCATTCGAGGGGTGACCTCCACACCGGACAAACGGCAAATCGATGTTCATCGCTGTAACACGCTTCCGCAATGGCAACGCAGAGAGGATTAATCGCAACCACGGCCGTAGCATTTATATCTTCTTCTGAACAATGCGCGCCATCCACGTGTTTGTATTCTTCTGGGATTGACGGGTTGTTCTATTATTGTTGGGCGAGGAACACCAATTGACTTCCTGGTGAGTCGTGGAAGCTTAAGGACCAGCTGACCTTGTTCCTTCGTCAATCGACCTCGGTCCCTGGGGGTAGACCTCGGTCCGTTCGTCGGTGGACCCTCGACCCTGGTCTCTGGAGGTCGAACTTGGTCCTTCGCCAATGGTCCTTCGTCGATAAACGTCGGTCCTTCGGTCGATGGACCCTCGGTTTTGGTGTCTGGAAGTTGTCCTTGGTCCTTCGTCAATAAATCTCGGTCTTTCGTCGATAGACCTTGGTCCTTCGGTCGATGGACTCTCGTCCTCGGTACCTGAGGTCGCCCTAGGTCCAGAGGTCCAGATATCCTAGCCAAGCAGAATCAAGAATCAAGTTTTAGGGTAAAGATATAGTAAAGGAGTTAAAAGATAGGACTATGTTAAATACTGCTCAATTTGCGATATACGAAGCACGCCTCCGTTGTACTCGCAAGGAACTTACATAGGTCTACCCACCTGTTCCGGGAAGGGATATATGTTGGCCCCCCCGTCAAAGACAGTCGTGTGGTAATACCCAAGTATGAATAGAGCCCAATATATATAGGATATACTTGGCCTGTAAGTTCGTCTGAGTTGCACCTCCCCCAATCGACCCGGTATCGGAAGCGGTCTCCCTACCCTAGTGGTTCGGGAGATAGTTAAGGCCAGGCGGTTAACACCTCTGAGATATCATGGAAAAGGCCAGGGTTGAGAATCTCCCCTGAAGAATTCGGTTATCAGGCTGCCCTCAACCTAGTCGACCAAAATACGAACGGTTCCAGTAGGCGCGGGGTGCCCTACTGGAAGGAATGGAGCACCGAGTAATTCGGTGGCAGCTCGGTGTCCCAGCCCTAAAGCGATTCCTACTCACTTCAACGTCACCACCACGCGTGACGATTCGAGACTGATCATCGTCAGTCTCATCGTCGCTGGCGTGAAGCGACCACTCCGAGCGTCGTTGGGTTCGGATGCATCCAACACTTTTTTCGAGCATCATGTTTGTACCTTCTCCCGTCTACGATCACGGTTCGGGAAGGTCTGGGTGACATCGTTGTCAAACTTGCTGATGGACAAATGCAGCGTGTCTCTTTCAAAACAGTGGTTCTGCCGTATACGTTTGACGGATATCAAAGAAATGATGAATTTTTGGTGTACTATATGAACTATGCATTTGATCGCATCTTGAGGATACAGTGGCTGTCACCATACCAGCCGACAATAGATTGGATATATCAATCCGTCAAACGACGAAGTGGATACGATGTGAGTGATTTTTTTCTCATTCTTTGGTTTCGTCATATAATTGGCCCCACGTCAGGGTCGTGGACAAACTTACTACGACTAGGAGTAAGCTCAGAGAGGACGATGGCCCTCTATGTCCGGTATGTTCAGTCACACTGATAGAACCACAATACGAGGTGGTCGAAGAGAGGTTCCCGCGAAATCAGACATCGGTCTAGCAGAGACTCCCGATTCATAGCGACGCGTTCGATCAGGGGCTTCCGCACACTTCTACATCGGATGAGAAGAGGCCTTCGGTTCATACCGAGGCGGTCGAACAGGGATCCGCGTACACAAACATCGGTCGAACAAAGGTTTCCGATTCCAACCGAGGCAGTCGAGCAGGGGCTCCCGGACACTACATCTAAGGCGGTCAACGACGAGATCCCGTCACGTATTGACGAGAATGAGCGGACCGTGGATCCGTATGTGAACGTCATGTTGGTGATGATCCACCACGTCTAGCGGGGGGTACATCATCCGCCAGCGACAGCAATGTGCCAGTCATGAGCAGCGGCTCGAGGCGCATGAAACGGCGTAAACACAAGAAAGAAGCACGCCGATCGCTGACACGACGACATTCTTGCAGGCACGTTGACGACGTTGACGACGTCGACGCCATAAAAAATGACGGAATCGCTCGAATATGTGGAGGCTCTCCACATCGCGGTCGCTACATTGAAGTAGATATCCCTCCGTGCACTGCTGCTGTAATCACATCTCTCTCAGCCCTAGCATGGAAAGATTTTTTCCATGCCCTCAAAGTCGGTGACATCGAGCAAGTGTGCATCTTATCTACCGCCGAATAGCTACAGAAGAAGTTTTGGAGGCTCGACCAGCGCGCAAAGATCGTTTCGCAACACAGTCCTGGGAAGCTCTTTGTGCTTCGGGCAACCCTGCCTAAGCTATCGCTCGCGAGAATGCCGATGTCTTTCCGGAAACAATTCCTGCTGAGATCACAGCTGATCGTGGAGTGCGGCACGAGATTGACCTGGTGCCTGAGCGAATTATTGTGTAAATCTACAGTGGCTATTATCTCGTGATCAAGTCATCGCATTGATGAATTCTTTGAGGGACGCCGTCAAGCAGGCCATGTTCGGGACAGTGTCTCTCCACATTCGAAACATACTTTCTGTGTGAAGAAAGCCACCGGCGGTTGGCGCATTGCACATGCTTTTAACAAGCTTAATGAAGCCACGATCCCGGCTCAAACGCCAATTCCGCGCAAAGTTATGGTATTGGATACTATGTCCGGTTGTGAGATTTTCAGTGTCATCAACCTGACAGACGGGTTTTATGAGACCCTAACGAGATACAGTGATATTCCATTCACTGCGGTCAGCACCCTGAGTGGCATGCTATGGGAATAACTAGTTGTGCCTCAAGGCCATACGAACGCTCCAGAAACGTTCAAGCGGATGGTGACACAACTACTCCGCCCGCTTCACGATTTTGCACCAAGCTACTTCGACAACATCTTTGTACACAGACGAGCTGAGCAACAACTTAGCGCCACGGAGGTTCACATTCGGCACTTGAAACAGGTGTTTCAAGTGATGCGTGAGATCAAATTATATGCCAAATTGGAGAAGCGTGTTTTCTGTGATCCCGAGATTCCAGTACTCGGTTGTTATGTCAGCGAGGAAGGTGTCCGCGCTGACATCTAGTAAATTTCATCGATATGTTCATGGCCTACGCCCAGGAGCTAAACTGAATTACGACAATGCCTCGGTCTGGCTAATTACTTACATAAGTATACGAAGACTTATGCCGAGCTAATCCAAACATAGTCGACTTTGCTGAAAAAAAGCAATTTGGTCATGAAAGGCAGAGCATCAATCTGCCTTCGACTCTGTGAAAAAGAGCTTGTCTGAAGTACCAGTGCTAATGCTGCCTGATGCCTCCAAGCCATTTCACGCTGTTTGTGACGCAAGCAACTTTGCGATTGGATGTGCCCTCATGCAATGTGACGACGGGAGCCGAGAGCGCGTCGTGAGTTCTCAGCGGCCGATGAAACCTGCCGAGAGAAACTATCCGGCACAAGATAAAGAACCTCTGGCTATGCGTTATGCTCTGATCAAGTTCAGGGCATATTTACTCGTCGAGAAGATGTTTTCAGTATATACAGATCACGTATCACTGCGTACCGCCGTCAAGACCCCTCCCGTGTCTCAGCATATCGCTCGTTGGTTGTTTTTCTTCTCAGAGTCTAACTTCGTGGTATTTTACTAGCCCGAAAGAATAAGATCCTTGCTGACGCGCTTCCTCTGCGTCCCGACTACTATCCTCGACGCGACATGGGCGATCAGCCAGGTAGTGCAGATGACGAAGACGATGACATATATTTGTGGTGTACCGAGCTGGGGCTCAATGCAATGTTCTCGACACCTGAGCTACCAATTCGGTCTCAGATTGCTAAGTATTACTCGAATGATTCCTCCTACTCAGGATCGATTAACTATTTTCGACACCCTGGTGAACATTCACTCGCGAAGCTGACGAAACCAACGCGTGACAACATCAAGCGTTACGCGCTTGATGGCCCGCTACTGACGTTCACGATGGATGTCTTTGACCACCGCGCGTAGTCGTCCCTTCTGATGACGACCTTTGAGCACGATTGGTGCATGGATTTCACGACACCCCAGCTGGTGGTCATCTGGGTCGCGAAATACGTTCGCGGCCATTTCTCGAGTGTTTTTCTGGCCGCACATGTACAAATACATCCAGGAATCGGTACGCTCTTGCGAAATGTGCCAGCATGTGAAGCCTGCGCCATCTTCACAAGCCCCATTACGACCGCTCTTGATTTCTACGGAAGCCTCGTGCTCCGTCAGTATGGACTTCATCTTTGGTCTCTTACCGAATGAGAAGAATTTCCCAGGCGTCTTGTTTCTTGTGGATCTATTTAGCAAAATGGTGCACTTTGCTCCAGTCTCCGCGCACACTACGGCGGAGAAAACCGCGAAGATCTTTATTAATCTCATAATCAGACACCACGGCTTGCCATATTCCATCGTCTCATACCGTGACCCGGGCTTGACTTCGGCTTTTGGACAGAGCTGTTTTGATTACTGGGCACGCGTTTGCTTGTGTCTACGGCGGCCCATCCAGAAACGGATGAGCAAACGGAGTGTGTCAATTGAGTGCTTGAAGATGTCCTGCATACTTATGCGGCATCGTTCTTTTCGTAAAGCTCATTCCTTCCACTCGCCGAATTTGCAATCTACAATGCAGTCCATGCGTCTCCAGGATTGACGCCATTTTTTGTGAACACCGCGAGGCAACCTCGCGTTCCAGCACATCTTGCTATCTCATCTTCACCACGAACGAGTTCTATGCTTGGTGGGGGAATATTTGCCGATGACATTGCGCCGTAACATTTAATGATTGATTACATTGCCCATAAGGTCGCCCCTGATGCGTCTCATGCTGATAATATCGTGGCCAGCGGCATCTCAAGTCCCGACAAGATGCATCCCGTCACGCCTTCCTTCGATAATTTTGCTCCAAAAGAGTCCGCTTCACCTATTATCTAGGCTGCTGTGACCAGATTTCTATTACTACGACAAGGCATCACACGTTTTGCCCGCGATGCCCTTCAACAAGCCGTCAACAAACAAAGCGAAAACGCGAACAAGCAAGGTCGAAAGCACATGTTAGCATTTAACAAAGGTGATAGATCTCTATTATCGGCAAGTGGCCTACCAGACACATCAGTGACGAATTTGGGCGCCACCAAATTAGCGCCAAGACACATTAATCCCTTCCGGCTTATCAAGGTTCATGGAGATGCCTATACGCTAGACATACCTACCACTATGCGCTTTGCACCCGACATTCATTGTCGGGCTCCTTACAAGCGTACCTCCCGGCTGATCTTCCCTCGAACCTTCCCTGCTCTACGGTATTGGTTCGAAATCTGACATCCCAAATCGACGACGCTGGTGATGACAGGGTAAACAGTTGCACAGGTTTGAAAAAGGCCGGCGTGCTAGAACCAAAGCTTGAGCCAAGACAAACCAGTTGGAGTGAAAGCTGACAAAAGGCAAAGCGAGGTAGAGCTGGGCGCGGCTAAAGGAAATGCACAGCATTCAGAGCGAATTTGCGCATGAAAGCATCCAATGAAAGCTCTCGCCCCGTTACGTAGCTTACACTAAAGGCCTTACGAGGAAGCGTAAGAAGTATGCAATTTGCTTGCGTACTTAAGACTATTTTAAACTCTGTTTTAACATTAAGGTCCGATCTAAAATCCTAAACCTGCTGTGAACCACCCCAAATACGTGTCGAAGATTAATTGAGTAAAATGGGGCTAAACACCACTTTCAACCAATCAAATAGATGACACTAAAATTACGCTATTCGTATCTTTTCCGTTTCTTACTTTTATGTAATATTCTCAATGTTGTCTACCTGATTTTGCATAATAACGGGAGCCTTATTATTGCCATATCGTACTTGATATGGCGTGTGACGGTACGACCCCGTTGCACCACCGCCCACTCAAAATGGCAAATGCAATGAGTGGAAGGGACCAAGGCACAACAGACACGCACTGTGTAACTTGCACTGCTTCACCTAGTCGCCAACCACCTTCGGCACCGCGCGAAAACCCTGCGGTGCCTTCGTCAACCTTCAATCCACCGAGGCGTTATGTAGATACCTTGCGAGCCTGGACCTTGTATGACTGCAGTGGAATTCAGCAAACACGTGGAGACGATGTCATGCCGACATGTGGCGAAGGTGGAGAGGAACACGCAGGAAATCCGTCACGGCTGACCTAGCTGTGACTTAAAACTCGCGGGAGAATCATGGACTGCGTTCGTGCGACGCTGGAACTCGGAACCACATTTCGGCGAATTATTATCACGTCGGGAGGAACAGCCAAAGCCGAAGGTATGGTCTTGCCGACTTGCGTGAGAAGGTGTGTACATTGTCTTGGAACGCTGGACGACCGTATTTCTTCGTGCGAAGGCGCGAGGGATGACGATTTTTCTGCGGTGAGAAAGCTCCAACCCGCGACAAGTGGGAGTCAATTCTGCGCAATATCCAATGACGGAAGAGGAGCGTCCATGGATAGGGCGCTATGAACGTGTTCTCTCAAATTTTGAGCGTGTACGTTTGCTCGGCCGTGCACGTACTCGATTGAAACGTGATTCACGCCCACGCTCGCGGTCTGCAAGTTCTCGACCGCAAAGACCACCACGTTCGCCTCGGCGTCGTACGCCTTCACCACGTCTGTAACATCGGCGAGAAGAATGGAGCGAGGCTCCCACGAATTGCTCGTAGGAGAGAGACCAAGCCAGCGGCATATTGACGACCGTCCGAGATCGCCGTGGGACGACCATAACTTGAGGCGCGGTGATTCAAGGTGGATGGGTTGCAATGCTCGAGAACCTTATCGACAATCCAGCGCGGATTCCCGGCGCTATCAATCAGTGGGGGAGGACCATCGCGGTGGAAGCGTGCATGAGGTGCCTGCGAGTCTGGCCGGATTTGACATGATCGAGTCTCTCGCAAAGGAGCTTTGCGAGTATCAACAGCGCGTTGGGTTTGTTGGATATGACACGGAGCAGGCGAGGGAGCTGGTTGAGCTTGCGGACTCGCGAATGGGTCAGGTTTCTCGACTGTTGCCGGATTGGCGGCTCTTTTGGAATAGTTGTAACAGTCAAACGCGGCTCTTTGGAAAGACAACGCGGTGTTGCGAGGGGACCGTCAACCGGGGCCTTCAAGGAAGCCGAAGTATTGCAAGCTACGTTATGATCCCGCGGTGGGACCTTCTGATCAGTCTGGAGGAGGCCGGCCATTAGCGTTTGAGTCGCCCAACGTAAACGTCGGGTGAAGTCGCATTGCAGTTGGGATATCAAGTTTGTAGGCCTTTTCCATAACCTTGAAGACCTTGAACGGTCCAATATAGCGCGGTGACAGTTTGTTTGCACCGAGGTTTGTCACAGATGCATCTTGAATGCCTGTCGTGGATAAAACACGGAGTCACCCACAAAGAACTTTTCAAAACTTTACGTTCGCGTTAGTCCGCGGACGCCTTATGTTTGTCAACTGCGCTCACGAGCGCATTACGAATACATCGTGCAACTGACTGTCGTTGTTCCACAAATGCGTCGATTGCCGCCGAGTCAGTGAGACAAGCACTTGGCGGCGAAGCACTACGACTTGAGGAATCGATCGACGGACTGTCGGACGACAAAGATAATGGAAACGCACGACGCGTTGGAGTAATCAAAGCTTTGCTAGCCCATTATGTAGCGTTATGTACCGACAACGGAGTCAGCTTACGCTGGCAAGCGGCCCGAGTCATTGCCACATTAAGCGACGCCGGGAAAGGCGAGGCGTCATCTTGAGTATCCTCAGCGCTCGATGCTGCGGACTTCATCAACTCCAGAACTCCTGGGGTTTCTCCCCCGACAAGAGTAGAATCATCCTTCAAACCGAGAAAGACAGGCACGCGTGGATGACGCGCGCTATTGACGAAGAAGGGGGTGAATCCCGTTGAAGCGTGAACGGCGTTATTTAATGCAAACTCGGTCATGGGGAGAAAGCACTCCATGACTCGTATGACGTGGCGTAACTTCGCAGCACGTCTTCCAAAACGCGGTTCACACGCTCAGTCTGGCCGTCGATTTAAAGGTGATCCGCAGTAGACATTAACAATCTGGTACCCAGTAACTCGAACAGCCGCGACTAAAAGGCGGCTGTGAACCGGTGATCACGATCCAAAACGATTGTAGCGGAGATTCCATGGTACTGGAAGACCATTTCCAAGAATAGTGTCGACGTATCTGCCGCATTTATTGATGCGTCGACCGGAACCAGATGCACCATCTTGATGAACCGGTCGAAGATGACGAAGATACCAGTGCGCCCCTGCGCGTTTTCTGGAACGCCAAATACAAAGTCCATGCTAACTGATCGACACGCCTCGGTGACGATGGGTAGTGGAGTCAGCGGAGCTTGAGAGGACAGAGCTGGTTTCACGCGTTGGCATGTCTCGCAGGAACGGACCCACTTGCGAACCCACTTATACATATGGGGCCAGTAAAAATCACGTGACAGCACCAGGTAAGTCTTTTCCCGTCCTAAATGACCGCTCGTCGCGCTGTCGTGATACTTGTGGAGTATGCAAGCACGTAAAGCACCATCGAGTGGAACAACGATGCGAGGAGGATCAAATCGATCGACCTGGTATACTAGAAGGTCGCCAACAATTATGTAACGAGAAATTTGGGCGCGTGTCGGCGCTGTCAGTTTGCACAGCGTCTCATCCGACAGATCTTTACATTACTTCAAAAGTGGCAAAATAAACTAATCGCGATGGTACGCCGTTGAGATGTCGACACGAAACGGATTGACCACGCTCACAGCGGTCGTGTTCGCTCCAAGGGCCACACATGCTGCACATTCCTCGTCTTCGTCCTCGATGGAGGAGCAAGCTGGACCGTCACCGCGAGGGTCGTAGTCGGGACGACGCGACAAAGAGTCTCATTCAGGCACCAATTCTGGTTTTGCCTGATCCTGATCGCCCGTATAGCGTCGTATGTGACGCTTTGGACTTTGTCATTGGCAGTGCAATTTTGGAAGTTGACTCTGAGGTCGAGAACACGTCATCGCGTTGGAGTCTCGCCAGCTGAAAGCTGCAGAAATGAACTATTTTGTTCATGACAAGGAGCTACTTGCGATGAAGTATGTCCTTGTTAAGTTCAGGGTACACCTGTTGGGCTACAAGCCGTTTGTTATCTCTACCGATTATGCGTCGTTACGCACAGCGACACAGTCGCCTCATCTCTCGCAGAAAATGGCTCGTTGGCTCTCCTTTTTCGCGGAGCCTTTCGAGGTGAAGTATAAGCCCGGAAAACAGAATGTTTTGGCTGACGCGTTATCGCGTAGACCTGACTATGAGCTTGCTCATCTCACTGTTGTGAGTTCGTCAGTAACGGATCGTATCCGTGTGACGTATGCACGCGATGAGGCATGTGTTGCCCTTATGCAGGCGCTGGGTAGCGCAGAGTTTGAAAACTCTAAGGTGAAGTTGTCACCACGTAATCGTGCGAGATTACATCGTTATGCACTGACTGATGGTCTGTTGTACTATAGTACAGGGTCGGATGACCAGCCTCTTGTTGCGGTGCCTCATGATGAGGACCTCAAGTATCAGATACTTTATGAGGCTCATGATACACACTGGTGGTCATTTAGGTCGTGAGAAGACCTACAGCTCGATGAGCACCCATTCTTGGTGGCCCAAGTTGTATAAATGGGTTGGTACATATGTACGCACGTGTGAAACGTGTCAAAGGGTGAAGCCCTCGCCTAGTATGGCTGCGCCTTTGTCGAGTTTGCCTGTACCCTCGGGGTTATGGCAGTCCATTAGTATGGACTTTGTGTTTGGCCTACCGGTCCAGACAACACTGATGTGTCTTTTTGACCGATTGACGAGATGGCCTTCACCGACTCCATCGATGGAGAAGGAACAGCTAAGCTGTTTATGGATCGTGTGTTTCGACAACACGGATTGCCTGTGGCAATCGTCTCGGATAGAGACCCCCGTTTTACGGGTAAGTTTTGGACGTCAGTCTTTAAAGTGCTGGGCACTCGACTGGACATGTCCACGGCGGATCATCCGCAGACCGATGGCCAGACAGAACGCGTCAATCGCGTTATTGGTGATATGATTTGGGGTGTTTGTGCTGAAACACCCAAGTAATGGAGCACGATGCTCCCTCTCATCGAGTTTGCGTTGAATAACGCGGTGCATGCCTCGACAGGCTTCACCCCATTCTATGTGAATGGTTTAGTCAACCCTCGCGTTCCGTTAACGCTCCCCCCTGCCGCTTTGGGGCTTTGTGGGGGAGAGATAGACAAAGGCTTGGCTGATATCAGCCCTGTTGCGATGCGCAAGAAGGTGGAAGCGTTTTGTCAACGCGTTTTGACGTATTACGTCGCGTCAAAGACGCTATGGCTGAAAGCCAGGATGTTCAGAAGGAATACGAATGCCAAAGGCAGGAAGAACGATCAAGAGTTCAAAGTGGGTGATTTAGTTTTATTAAACGCTAGGAATTTACCTACTCGTGCCGTTTCGGCAGTATATAAAACCAAATTACGTCCACGCTTTATTGGACCTTTCAAGTCATTAGCAAGAAAGGCTTAGCCTATACGCTGAGCCTTCCGAAGAAGATGCGAACACACCCTGTGTTCTATGGGGGCTTACTTAAACCATATCTCGACCCTGCCTCGGTGAACTTCGAGGTGTTGTCCCCACATCCCCGGCCAAAGGTGGCGCGTAGTACTGCACCGGAGGTGCATATAGACGCTGAAAGCGTACCAGGAGGTCGATCTTATATCGCAGTTTGGCCTGAGAACGCTCAATCGCCGTTATGCGATCCGAGGTCTCAGAGCAATAACGCTCAAAAGACCGACGGTGTCGATCGACACGGTCATCGAGCGATGACAGGTGAGACCTCGCCGATACAAGGTCATCAAGTTCCAGGAGCGTCAGGCGACGCTCGATCTCAGAGAGATGAGAGGTCAATGAGTCATCGACCTCCTCCGACGTTGATTGATGACCACGATCATCAACAGTTCCACGTGGAACTTCTCTTATCTTGGCGTCGTCACCAGGATCATACCCGATACTTGGTGGAGTGGAGGGGTTACCTCCAGTCGTACGACTCGTGGGAGTATGAGGTACTCCTCCGGCAGGATTGCCTTAATGCCGTTGACGCTTTTGATCAGGACGGTCAGAAGCGACGACAGCTGTCGTCGGACGCTTTCTAGCACTAGGTGCTGTTGGAAGTAGATTCAGTAGGCTGGCTTCGCCTCTGACCTTCAGAAGAAGCCAATGTCGGTACATCACTCGAGTGAGAGGTACGGGCAACAGCTTGAGAAGCTTGTCCCCCACAAGTCTTTGAACTGTATGTGGAAGGTAATTGACGATTCGCTTCAAGCTTAGAAAAGTTATAACGTAAACGACGTTCAAACCAAACGTCTTGTTCTTTAGCGCTTAAGCGCAAGTTCGACAAACTGACACGCTCGTTCTACCCAACGGGTGAACTGGTGATCATCTTGTGCAGATGTTTCACCTGGTGCAAGCACCGCTCGTATGTCGTTTAGTGGGTGCACGGGCACCCCACGTGACTGTCGTGACAGTCGCTCCTGATACGGTTTCGTCGTAAAATCTTGGGAATTAAGGAGACGCTTACGAAGAGCGGCACGATTTGCAACCTCGCAAGCAGTACGCTCCTGGGACCCAATGACATAAGTTCGCCAAAATTGCGATGCAGCTCGTCGAGCTTCCTCATTAGGATCACGAGACACGAACCCATAATCACGACGTGAAAAGGTTTGATTGGGCCGTGCTAAGGCAGCCGTCTGGGCCTCGTCATCAAGTTGACGACGCTGTGCAGCGTCAAAAGGGTTGGTTTCCTCTTCGTCTGTACCCTCTCGCGAGGGAAGAGGAGGCGCTTGGCGCAAAGGGGCTGTCTCCCTTAGAGGGAAAGACACTGAATGGGATCGACGTCCCTCGCTCGGTGAGCGTGATGATCTTGGGTTACTTTGACCCGAAGATGACTCGGCTCCGCCGCTCGTAGAGGCAACGTCACTGTCATCGTCCCCAAAAATGTCGTGATGCAATGCTACATCCATGATGGAGCAAGCGCGATGGAGACAAGTGCTTTATAAAAGCAAGTGTTCGTGAACAATGTGATGCTTAAATCAAGTGTTATGAACACTGTAATGCTTGAAAGCAAGTGCTAGGCACCTTGTGATGTGAAAGCAGTGCTTGTAAACACACAAAAGGTATTAATACCAAGTGCTTGGAATTTAACGCTTATAAGCAAGTGTCGTAACACTTAATGATTTAGCGTGAGTGCGATGCACTATATGCTCAAAGAGCGAGTGTCGTAACACCAGGATGCTTAGAAAGCGTGTGTGCAAAGCACGGGTGCTCAAGGCGCGAGGCAAGCAAAATAGGAAGAAAATGTAATCGATGCCACCCTTAAGTGCAAAAATATGTGAGTATGTCGGGTTCTACGGATGGGTGGGGGAGGGTGTAACGGGTTGCACAAAGGTGTGTATTTTACATACGCACCTGCCACACCAATATGGTGTGGCTGTACCTTGGGTACAAAAGTAGGTGATGTGACCATACCTGCAGTACGAAGGGTCGCATCGTGGCAGAGAGTCACGTGGTCACTATACTTATCTAAAGTATAGTGACTATGCATGTTTGCATAATAATAACAGGCTATAGAGCCAGTAAATAGTGACTAGCACTAAGCATAGAGTAAGTGCTTCTATATTTAGTGTTAGAAGATAAACATAAATACAAATCAGTTCTATACCTGCTCTACAAGCCTTACAGCTTGAGCGTTCTATTCCTTTTAAGGAGTCAGTATCTTTGATACTAGTCTCTCTGAGACTCGGTTGTTAATACCGATAGGCACAAGCTTACGAGCTAGCCTAGGAGGGTTAAGCACCCTAAGACGATAGAAGCTCTCTGAGCTTGTCTTCCTCTACACATAGTGCATACGTAGCTTTGCTACAGTAGTCTGACTACTTCTTCTGCACATAGTGCATAAGTAGCGTAGCTACAGTTATAGTGACTAGCACTAAGTATAAAGTAGGTGCTTCTATATTTAGAGCTAGAAGATAAACATTAAATAAAGTAGTTTTAAACATGCTCTGTATAGCATTCGTTGCTAGAGCATTAGTCCTTGTATAGAGGGAATTCATATCGTTGATATTGGTCTCTTGGTGGGTCATTTATAACCAAAAAGACATAAGCTTGTCAAGATAGCCATATGAGGGTTTAAACACTTGACGTTCAGCTCCCAAAGCTTGTGTTCCTCCGCATTAAGTGCATAACTAGCTTTGCTACGGTAGCTCTGCTACAGATGTGGAGACTCGCATCGACCGTTTGTAAGCAGTACTTGAGCGAATATGCATAAACAAGATGTATGCGTATGCATAAGAGCGTCTCATTGGCGAGGAAAAGATATATTTTCCTGTATAATTTGCTTGAAAGCGTAGCCTTCGAGCGGGGTTTGCTAAGGAAAAAGTCATTGTAAGTTGTCCAGATACGCATCACCATAAAAACTTATGTAAGTGACCTCTTTGCCAGCTATTTGCACATGTAGCTAGCTCACAGAGAAGTCTCTGTTATGTACAATTGTACTACAGACGACTTGAACTCAGCGCCCCTGATAATGTATGTAAAAAGTAATATCCAGGTGTGGTATCTTTCTTATTCACCGTTAAAGAATGTAGAGCATCAACATTACATGTAACTCCTATTGCCATGAATACGCTCCATCGCATTACGAATAAGCACACAATGATGTGAAAGTGATGGATCGATTTGATTTACCAAATCAACAATGAGACAAAAGCGCTCCATCGGCTTACGTTGCAATAGTTCGTCCTCGGACAGAATTTTTGCAGTACTGACCATCGTTTTTTTCAAAGTTTCTTCTTCTCGCCCAACGCAATACGGCGTTGTGGGAAGAGGTAGAAAAACACCAGCAAGCTAATACTCACAACATGCGGAAGAAAGTACCACGAGCTCCAAATTGCAAGGCATCGACGCACATCCATGATCTCAAACGCCACTCCAACGTACTGCATCGCCATCCACGTCAACAATACACCGCTTACGTCATAAAGAAAAGCCAATGGGTGGGAGGTTCCATTGAAGTACGACAAGAAGATAGCGTGCGAGTGTGCATTGCGATCCTCCGTGTAATGAAAGTACGGCCTCAGGTGACGGCGAAGATCTGTATAAAATCGTAACAGTGTGATCATCAATGGTGCATATCAGTAACGCTACTACACATATGAGCCAGTCAGTACGATACTTACGTTTTCCAACTTCAATGTAGATACCGCCTGAAAGGAAGAACAAGTAATAGCCCGGCGACAGCCCCTTTGAGAACAAAACAGTCCGTAAGACGCTGCACTATCAACGTCTTTGCTTGTGAAAAACCTCAGATTCTCTACTTACATGCCATAGAGCACTGACGAAAAATGAAGCCATCGTGGACAATATGGTAGGCTTTCCTGACTTGGACAGACCAACACGCTGGTAGATATCTGCAGAAGAGTGATGTTGCATAACAGGCCCATTGTGAGTTAAAGGTGGCTGTATCCCACGATTAAAGGTATGACGCACAAGTGTTAATCCATCGTGCAACGCCAATATTCCAGTTGTTGATTGCAACACGAAAGTTGGTAGGAGTTTCCACACAGAGAAGATCATTATTTGTGATGCCATTCCTGACACCAAATACAATACAGCTTTTTAGAACAAGATAGGTGACAACAGTACTTCACATTATACAGCAATCATTGTACCAGTTTCCAGTTTCTTGCACGTAGCCAACGCCAGCAGCAGCACTCGCGGCTTCAGCTAACGACCATGCTAAATACTGTCAATGGGCACCGAAAATAATAATGAGGAGCTTTGTTTGAGTAACGCGACATTGAGCAAATATAAAACTTACAAAGCGAAAGCGGAACAAGACGACACGAACGCACATGTAGAGGCAACGCACAGCCCATGAGGACTTTGGGTAAAAGCTAGGCGAGTCAATCTCCTCAACTGAAAATTGCAGCGACATGAAAAAGCCTGCCGCTGAAATCTACAGAACAAAATGCAACGAAATGAGCAAAGAGGAGAAAGAACTGGTCATAGTAGCATCCAAAGATCGTACCAGTATAACGAAAAGGTTGCGAAGGTGGACCAGGAAGGGGGCAACACGAATTTCCTAGTAAGGAAATTGGCATGTCAGTACAACAAACACAATTTATCAATTATATTGATTAAAGTACCTTCATCCAAGTAATGTAGTCCTTGTATTCGAATGCTGGACCGGCAAGATACGTCGGGAAGAAGAAAACGAAACCTGCACTCAACACATATAATAACAATAGAGTCCTGTTTGGTGCTAGCATTACAACACTAGAACTACACTGTAACACCAACCAAAGTACGGAATGAGAGCCGGAATTTCGTAAAGCTCATTTCTAAGCATCGTAGGCGTCTTTTTCTCCTTGGGCAGACCACCATCGCTGTAGTTGATAGAGACACTGCTGAGCTTCAGTGTCAAAATCATTTGCGCCGAGTCCCACACAATGTCTGGGCGATGGAATTCACGATAGTAATGACTGCATGAAAATATGTAAGTACGCCAACACTAAACACATTCTAAAACCAGAGCAATTTGCACCGACATTCCAACGAGATACGTCAGCAGCAGCGGAAGTACAATGCGACCAACAAGTTCTCTGTACCAAATAAAGATATCCCATTCTATAAATTAGTCCGCTGACACTTGTGCATCGATACACGGTCGCTGTACCTTGGAGCTACAAGCATAAGCAGATATACCATCACGGCTGTGCTAATCGTATGTAACACCGCTGTTCCGAACACAAAGACACCAACAAATAGACCTGCTATTATATTGAACAAGTGACCTAATTTTACATTGATATACATACATAAAACAAGTGGACTGTTAGCTTGTAGAGCCTTGCAAATGTAACCATAATGACCACTATCATCATACGGGAAGTCTCGCTCTGCATTAAATGGATGAGAGGCGCTACGAGGATACAGCTTGCAAGCATCACCATGAGACGGAAACCATTGACTGGGAAGTTCTCACTTCGAGCGACGTCGTCTACAGGGCCGCGAATAAAGTCCATGCTTTGTTCTCGTGTCCGCCGATGCGATACGATCCAAATCTCGGCGAATGAATTGACACGTGATGATGACATTGTGGGCCACATAATTTATGCACGATGCATACACACAGCTACCATTGGCTGAAAATACGTATGCACTTGGTTTTGGTAAATAAACAAAATGGTGAAATTGTGTGGTACTCACGACGATAAAGAATATTCGATAGATGACGTGATCAAGCCTATATATCAGGCAATAATTTGAATTTAGAACTACAAATGCATTAAGAAGTTTGAATTACCTGAGAAAAAGCAGACAGCACAAATGAGGATTATCCTCTTAGGGACACTATCGATATCTTCAGCAAACTTAAGAGGACGATGAGCAACGCAATACGATAGTCTTTATTGCACACAAATGCTGGAAACGACCCGTCAAGTTTGCGACTGTCAGCGGATAGTTCATTATAAACAGTGCTTCTTATGAGCTCAACTGCATCAATCTATCTCACCATTTCTCTTATCGTTTGGTTTGCATCCCTTCTTGTTCCTGCTCTTTCACACGTGACGACTATGCATCAAGATTAAGCGGCTGCTGTCTCTCTTTTAACTGATGAACAAAACGACGACCCATTCATCCTTTGTTTCAACAACGTCAAGGTGTGTAGTCCTCCCTTGTTTCTTCTACTATCTACACGTCCTGCTGCTACTTTTTACGGCGTCAACGATTCTTGTTCCTAAACTTGTATCCTTCTGTTTATTGTTTTGGTTCATCTTCACTGGCACCCCTTGTATCACTGCTTGTACAAGAGTCTGCCAAATCTCTGTAATGCTTTCGCTTCAATGCCAATCAAACGCGAGGAAACATCCCACACTTGATTGTGACTTGTCTACGTCTTTGTATTGATAAAGTAGTGAATCCGATCAAAGTTGAACATATAGCCCTATCAACTGCATTAACAACAAAGTGATCTAATAATGCTTATAAGCAATTGCTTTAACATGGTAACACCATCACGCTATGCGTTATTACTCAGTCAATGAACGGTTGTTACTTTGTCGGTTGGCAATTCAACGACGATTGTCTATTGGTTGAAAAACAACACAAAGAGTCGGACATATATATGCCTAAACTCATTATTAAAACTTTCAGCTCCATACAAGTAGCCGCATGTTTCGACGAGTCGTGAGGAGTCACACGAAGCTCGGGGTGGCGGTAGTGCTTAGTACTCCTATACTCTCATTGCAGTCAAATGCATATGCAGAGCAGCGAGTACATGCGAGAGGGTGCGTACTTACAAGATATTGAAGAAGATGATTATGCGTCGTTTTCACAAGATCTGCTATCGTTAGTGAAGCGCTGGGACGAGGAGTGCGTCTTGAGCTCTGGAAGGCTCAGGTAGGTTGCAAAAATAGCTCTACATAGGACAAATATTGATTTCATGACTGACTTATATGCGAAATAGCATGAAAATGTAACTGTACTGGACCTTGAGAGTGAGCTGATTCAGCTCGGGATGACACGGATTCGAGACTACAAAAATGATGGTGGGATTGCTAGAGAAGAGGCCGAGGAAACCTATCGAAACACTGATGCTGTCATTTATGGTTATGATGTCATCATGTGTACAGGTGCAAAAGTTTATTCACGATGCAAACGGGGTGCTGCGTTCAACGTTAGACTTGGCGCTCACAGAGCTTCCGATAAACGAAGAGGTGATGGTCTCGCGCATTGTTCGATATGTTGACATCTCATAAGACTGAAAATAATGTGTTGCGTGCAAAAGGCTGTTGTGACGACGCAGCGCGGATATAAAATTGAGGGTCTTACGTTTGAGGACGACGTGAAGGTGTGCGGCATCAGTGTTGCCGTGAAACCGGAGACGCAGAAAGGGTGCGTTGATGCGAAAGCATTTTGTACAACAAAACCTACTGGAGAAGTTTTGTTGTTTAGTTGCTTTGTGAGTGCATAGTTTGGCACAGGTTCTACGCACGTCTCTTCCGTACGTGGCCAAGCTCGGCGAGATTTTGGTGCAGGAGGTTGCCAAGGGCGGCAACAAGGTAAATTTGTATTGACTCTACTGCACTTACTTGGCTGGCTAACGCGCTTTGTAGGTTGTAAGCACAATTCTTCCAGAGGATCTTGACGGCCACGAAGTGCTACTTCTTTTGCCGGTTTTCACTTCGATCGCCCAGATTGACAAAATTGTTCATGTACGATTGTGAATGTAGCTTTGTCAAATTTCTTTTATGTTATAATCAACGTTGTGATGGCTTATTTTACAGCTTTTGATGCATCAAGGTGTCACGGAAGAAAAGATTACACTCGTGACTCTTGTTACTTGCCCAGAAGCTGCTGATGGGTTCTGCAAGGTTTGCTACAGTTTTGATGTCTTTTACTTTGGCATAGCTATATCGATTGGCCTGTTGTTTGTGGGCTGATTAGGCATTCGGCGACGCTCGGCTAGTAACCGCTTCCTTTGACTTGAAACTGAACAATGAAGGTCACATTGTTCCAGGCATTGGTTCCTTTGAAGATCGTTATTTGGGCATTCCAAGTGTTGATGTAGAGCTTGTAGACGATCCTGTCTCAAACGAAGGTGACAACGAGAGCGCTTTGAAGGCCAAACTTACACATAAATTGATATCGTGGATACAAAAGGACTGAGTAAATTGGATGACAAAGCGCTTGTTACAGCTGTTCAAGTAAGTGCATAAACAACTACTTTGCATATAATAACAATAACTGGTTTAGAATGGACCACCAAATTGTGAAATTTTGTCACCAAAATTAACTAACAATGAACAGAGTAAAAGTATGGAATTACGGCTAACTCTGAGCCTCGTATGACAAATAAAGACTACGTGACCGTGATTTATCATCCTTGTGTGCTCTTAATTACTACACAAAAAAGGTAGCAAAACGATTGTTTATGTTTAGCTCCAATCATTCCAATACGTACACACGCCTCGTTAAACATTAGTAGTGTAACAACGAGGTAGTTGTTAAGATGCCGATGGACTTTAAAGTGACGTTTGCTAATGGAACGTCAATGAAACTCATGGGTTTACCCGATGATATCACATTAGATGGATTACATGCTCATTTGTATGAAAAGACATCAATTCTACCACAAGAACAACATGGTAAGAGTACTTCCATCTTATTTGTGTATCATCGATAGACAAAGCTTGACATCTTCTTTTGTCGATGGCGTTACTGCTATAGTAATGATTGGTTATCCTCCCAAGCTAATTGAGGGACCAGAAGTACGTTATAGCATATGTTTATGATGTACAAAGTTAGTAGAAAAAGCATTTGACAATTACTATTAACTGTTGCAATAGGACCAATCGTTGTTTTCTTTGGGCATTCGAACGGGTTCCGTACTAGTGCTCAAGGAGATTCCGGAGACTACTGATGCTCAAGTCAAGTCAACTTCATTGTTTATGCGACGTGTTATGCCGGCAGATAACAGCTGCCTTTTCCATTCGATCGGGTGCGTGACGTGGAATTTGTTGTTTGGCTGAAGTGAGCTACTTGCTCACTTGACGGGGCTACCGTGCTGCAGATACGCTCTTACTAAACGCAGAGAAGGACATGGTCCCATTATGCGACAACTGATTAAGGATAAGATTTTGACGGATTCGGAGAAATACTCGGAAGTGTTTTTGGGACGGCCAGTGCATGAGTATTGCGCTTGGATCATGGACGACAAATCATGGGGTGGCGAGATTGAGTTATCGATATTGTCGACATACTATAAGGTGCAGATTGTTGTCTTTGACGTCACAAGTATGAGCAGACTCTGTTATGGTGAAGACCAAGGCTTTACGCAACGGATGTTCTTGCTTTACGACGGGATTCACTATGACCTCATAGTTGAAGCTCCGTCCACCACAGCATCCGAGCACCGTGATATGACGCTTTTTGCTATCAACGACTTTACAAAGGTATAGACAAATCGATGCATTTGTTTATAAAGTTGCCCTATGGTGTTGTTTCTGACACACTGTTCTGCAGGTAGAACGTGCAAGTGAAGTCGCGGTGGAAGCTCATCAAAAGCACGAGTTCACTGATGTTGGTTGCTTCAATATCATGTGTCTATTGTGCAGGAGTACTTTTATCGGACAGGTGAGCTCACATTTACAAAGAACTGCTGTCCATGAACACTAAACCCCTTCACACATGTACATGCTGTTGCAGAATGAAGCACTCTTGCATTCAAAAACTACAGGGCACCAACAATTTGGTGAGATCAAGCCAAACTGACTAGAAGTGCTAATCTATCCTAGCTTGCGACTGTTAATCTAACAATCTTAACGCAAGTTTTGCCAGCAAATGTTACTTTTGGAAAAGTCTATCTTCTGAGCCCTAGGGGCGACCGAGCATCGTTGGTAGAAGAAAGTAGCTAAAGAATGAGCTCAGCATCTTCAATGTCCTGGAGTTTCGTATTGTACACTAGTCCGTCAACTCTCAATGTCGCCGGCCCAATTTGCATCCGAGTATCCTGATATTGGCGAGCTACCACTTCGTGTGCTTCGTTCCTTGAATATATTGAAATACCCTCTTAAGTGCCTGCCGGTGTGTTGTACACGACGAGTACATACCATAAGATACATAAGACATCCAACCGCATTTTGGTAAGGAACGTTTGCCATCGTCTCTAAATGATTACAACCTCCTTCGCACTTGATTTTTGTCAACTTGAGTCCTGGGTCTTGAGGGCTTGACCGGTTTGCTGTCCTTCATGCCAAACTTTTCCAGAATATCTTTGACGAAGTTGCTTTGCCGCATCGACATTTTCCCAGCAGAATCGTCCTGATAGATTTCCGCGCCAAGAAACTATTTGAGTTTCCCCATGTCGGTTATTTCAAACCGCTGGCTGAGTGCGTGCTTAGTTTCTTTTAGAATTTTGTCGTTGCTACTGACAAGAACCAGGTCATCAACGTAAAGTGCCACAAGAATCATGTCCTTCTCATCACGCTTGATGTAGATACAATGGTCGTATTTGCACTTCGTAAACGTAAGCCAAAGCATGAATTCGTCGATGGTTTTGTTCTACATTCGCGGCGATTGCTCCAATCCATAAAGCGACCGCTGCAGCTTGCAAATAAAATGACCGTGTTTTTGATCGATGTAGCCGTCTAGTTGAACCATGTAGATGTCTTCATCCAGTTTTCCATTGAGGAAAGCCGTCTTGACATCCATCTGATGAACAGCCAGATGGTACTTGGCTGCCAGACTAGTCACTATTCTGATGGACGTAAACTTGGCCACTGGGGCGAAAGCCTTCTCGTAATCGATGCTGTATTACTGGGAAAATCCTTTAGCAACGAGACGCACTTTAAAACGCTCGATCTCACCAGCCTGGTTCTTCTTGACCCAAAATACCTATCGACAGCCGATCGCCTTTTGACCCTTGGGCAATAATACCAACGTCCACGTCTTATTCTTGTGGATAGAGTCCATTTCGGAGTCGCACGCATCCTTCCACTTGGCTGCATTGCTAGATTCCATCGCCGACTTGAACGTTGTTGGCATTTCTCCCACTGAATCTACAATATACGCTGCGTGAAGATCATACGGTGCCCGCGGACATGTCTCGTCTTGTCTGTGAACGAGTTTGCCTCTTTGGAGCCGGAATTTCAATTGCGTGTTCCAACGAAGAAGTTTGGGTGTGATGCTTGGACCCAGGCAGAGTGTCGTCGTTATTACTAGCGATATTCGGTGGAAATGATGATTCGTGATCAGTCTCCCATCATCCGGGATACTCACGAATACGTCTTTTAACTCATCTGTGTTGCTATGCAGCGTCTCCCATCTGTAAAGATACCTTCCATGAATTGCGCGTCATAACTTATTATAATTCTACGGCTCTTTCTCTCTTCAAACCGACATGCTTTCTCGTGCTCCGTGTATCCGATGAACCGGCAGCATATCGAGAGGGCATTGAGTTTGCCGCGTTGCTGCTTTGGGACCGTTACATACCCATGGCAACCGAACACCTTCAGGTTTGCCAGTAGCGGCTTCTTGCCGGTCCAGACTTGGTGCGGTGACTTATTCTACTGGTGGAACGCGTCGGGCAACGATTACGAAGAAATGTAGCAGTCATGATCGCTTCGCTCCGATACACCTTGGACAATCCGGCAAGCTTCAAAATGCAACGAGCACATTTCACTAATGTCTGTTTCATCCGCTTGGCGATTCCATTAAGCTCAGGAGTGTATGGAAGCGTGTACTTCTGCGATACCGCGGTTGCTGCAGATCTTTATCATCTTACTTGACTTGTATTCTCCGCCATTATCACTGCAAAGAACCTTGGCCCGGTTTCCTGTCAAAGTCAAGCAAAGGCAGCAAAATTTGCGAATTTGGCCGCCACGTCGGACTTTTTCCGTAGCAAATACACTACGCAAAAATGCGAGTATTCGTCGATAGAAGTAACGAAGTACCGACAGTTGCCAAAAGCATTGTGTCTGCATTGGGCCACAAATGTCGGTGTGAATAGCTTCGAGCAGATTTGTTGCTTGACGTGGTGATCTGGGTATAAAGCTTGCTTGCGTTTGCTTGCCCAGAGCACAATCCTTACACATCTCCCACTGCTTTACCGACGTGATGTTGATGCCAACTCCATAATCCTTCTTTACGATGATTTCTAAACCTTCACGGTCGATGTGACCAAGCCGAAGGTGCCAAAGGTAGTACGTGACACCCCGCTGGTGACTTGTCGAGCTTGACACATTTGCCTCTTCAGGCAGAAGAGGCATCATGCAAAACTTAACCCTTGCCTATGCGTGCGCCTAGCTACCATGTCATATTCACCGCCTCCGCAAAGCGCGCGTCGGTTTCGAATGTGACAGAGACAACATCTCTCGTAAAACGACCTACAGAGAACAGGTTTCGTGACAGCTTAGGAATATAACACACACCGGTAATTATGCCCTTCTTGACTCCAGCCGTAGTCTGCATTGTCATGCCAATGTCTCCCGTGCTTACGGCTTGAACAAAGCCGTCATCCGCGAGCTGCACGTATACGGCGAAATCGTCTTGTAATTTTTCATGCACTTCCTCGAGTACGTCATGTGCTGCGTCGCACCTAAGTCGATAAGCCAGACGTCACTCGCTGGAGTAGAATTAATCCACCAGCTGAAAACAAGAAGTCATCAAGTTTATCTTCAGTCTGCGCGATACTTGGTCCATGCAACCTCTGCCGCTCTATGTTTTCGCGGATCCTCAAAGGGAACTTGGTAATCCAATGTCCTTGTTCGCCGCAGTAGTGACATGGGCTGACCTTCTGCTTCTGTCGCCCTCTTCTGTGCTTGCGGTGATTGCTGGTCATGAATGCTTGACTTTGGCTGTGCGTGACTCCATCGACACCACCAACTTTTTCCTTGCGCTTCAAGTCTTCGTGCAGCAGCGGAGACGTAACAAGTTCCCACGTCACCGTGTCGACACGTGACTCCAAAGCCGTAATAAGAAACTGGTACGAATTACTTAGGCTGCCAAGAAGCGTGATCACCAAGTCATCTTCTCTGACCAGAGCGCTGACTGCATCAAGCTGTTCTGCCAGTGTTTTAAATTTGTTAATGTGAGCGAGCACATCATCACCTTCTTCCATCATAGTTGTGAAGAATCGATGACGAAGGAAAAGCTTGTTTGCCGGGCTCTTCTTCTCAAAATGGTCTTTTAACTTTGCCCATGCATCAAATGCACCACCCGCCGAGCGAACCAACGGCAACTGCGAAGCTTCCATAGCCAGGCAGATAACAGACATTGCCTTGCGCGATTTTTGCTTGAATGTTGCTTGGTCCAACGAAGTTATCATTACTCGATCTTGATATCCCCGCAGACGACCTCCCATAGGTCTTGCTCCTCAAGCACCATTCACATCTTTAATTTTTCACGCATAAAAGTTTGTTCCATCAAATTTGTTTTAAACGCGTTGCTGAAGAATCCATGGCGGTGTCGTGTTAGTCTGTGGCGGCGGAGGCAGAGTCTAGTGAGCTTGAGCTCATAACCTGATGAAAATAAGTTTGATGCAAAATGCAAAGTGAATATATTAAGATCCTTAGTTGACAAACTCTTCTGTTACTCTAAGCCTTCATTCAATCATCAATCAATCAACCAGTCAATCATCAATCATTCAATCAAGCATCAATAGTCAATAAGTCAATCAATCAATAAGTCAATCATCAGTTAATCATGTCTAACGAGACATCTTGACAACCAATGCCTCGTCATGAGATAATTGCACCTCGCTGTCCTCAAAGACAACCGTCATTTTGACTTCTCCCGACTCTTTTGGGCCAGTACCTCGTGCATGCACCTCGTTGAACTCAAAGATAACATCCATTAATGACTTCATCCGACCCTGTAGGGTCAGTAACTCGTCTCTCATGTCATTTGAGCTCATGACCTGACATCTTGGCTTGCAGCCACCAACACCAATCACGGTGTTTAATGATGTAACATCATTCTCATGACACATGTCATATGTGCCATCTAGTGGGTTTCAACCACACTATCGGTCATCGGGCCTCGCCCAGGAGTATTGTCCACGACACTTACAGTGTCTACAAAGTCGGATATTCCAACATCAACATATTGACCGACTCGGTCCAATATCCACGCCAAAAGCGCTTTTGCTTCCTATCAGAGGTGGGTTCATGACTCTCCAGATCCCCACCAGGAGCATTGCGCGTTGCGCCGAAGGTCTTCGACCTCCAATCAATCCATGGCTCATGACGTTCAAGCCATGCCAAACCTAATATAAGATCATACCTCGCATCCAGGCCTAAGGCCAAACAGCGTTCTACGCTGTTAAAGTCCAAGAGCTTTGCATTTAAGTCCATCGGGAGTTTGGGTACCGTAACACGCGTACCCGTCTCTAAGCGAACTGTGACCGTATCGCTATCACGCGATTTAAGCGCTTCGATGACTACCTTCCACGGTGGCACGGCGCACATAATTACCCGATGCCCCCGAATCGATCAAAATAATCCATGGCTTTTCATAGCCCTTAAGCGTCCCTTCGACGACTGGCAAGCCTGCCTTGCATTCTCGTTCCATTTTTGAGAGTTTGGGTCTCTTTAAGGCTGGGCCCTGTTTACTTCTACCTCCTAGAGGTTCAACAGAATTCAGTTCTTCCCCAGTAGGGCGCCCCGAGCCTACTGGGCTTTGACGTTTCCCCGCGGTAAACCAGAGGGTTTATCCAAGGGGCGTCGGCCTTTCGAGGCCAAATTTGCCTTTCATGCAGGTTATTTTGCCATCAAATGGCCTGTTCTCTTGCAGATATAACATCTGCGCACACTTTGCTGCTCCGAAGCATGAATATCGGCTTCTTCATCGTCCACTTGACTACAGTCCGTGGAAACAGACCCATCAGACGAGTTGTTATAAGTGGCAGGCCTAGCGGCCTTAAAGTTGGTCTCGGCATTACATACCACTCCAACAGCTTCCTCGAATGAGGACGAGTTTACCTGGAAGACATCCGTTCTGGCAACGCCAACTCGGAGGCCCTTCATAAAGACCGTGACGGTCACTGCCTCATGCATAGGTCTATGACCATGGCAACAATAGGAGTTCTCAACTCTTGCACATATGCCGCAATATCACGCTTGCCTTAGCTACACACCAAAAACCGCGACCGGTTACGGTGCGCTTGGTTTGGCGGTGCATATTACCGGGTCATCTGAACTTTCAGATCGCCCCATGTTGGAAAAGCATCTTGCAGTGATGCACCACATGTGAATGCCCACCGTTTGGCTAAACCACCCAACTTGCCCGTGGCAAAGCCCACACGGTACGGTTCATCGGTGATGTCGGCTATAAACATAGCCGACTGAACCTTTCAGAAACAAAGCATGAGGTTATCACCTTCTTTGGCGTCGAACTTATCGACTTCCATTTGTATGGGTTTTGGTCTGTGGACCACTTCTTGCGCCATAGTCGCCATGGGTGTAGGCGCAGAAGAAGGCATCTGTGCCTTTACATGCTCAACTAGAGCTTTACTATACTCATCAATCATAGGAATACGCTTGTTAACCTCTTCGCCCTGTGCGATAAGGTACTCCACGCCCTTAGGACCAAGGATAGGGAGCAGCTTCTGCAACCCTTCCTGATGGGCTTGTGACAGCCAACCGCTGACATCTCTTCGATGTTCATTCTCACACGTAATTGAACCCGGATCACGCGCGTGACTGGCAGGTATACTAACCACTATACTAACGAGAATCCTTCTATCCACTACACCACACAACATTCACAAAAAATAACACACCAAACACACACAAATACACTTCCTATGCACGCTACATACTGCATCACGTCCTCCCACTCCAATACACACTCTGCACACGGCACATGGCACGACCGCAGACGATGCATAACCCACGCTACTAATAATACGGACCACGGCTTACAGTTAGAAGACGTATTCTATCTTTGTTACAGTTTGTCTAATGACAAGGTATAAAGGACGATAAGACGAAAAGAAGAAGTCGCAAACCCAGGCGCAGGATTGACTACAAGTGCTACCAGGTGTAGCCGAGCTACTATAGCCACGCTACTTATGTACTATATGCAGAGGATGTAGATGAGCTACTGTTGCAAAGCTATTTATGCACTATGTGCAGAGGAAGACAAGCTCAGAGAGCTTCTTCGTCTTAAGGTGTTTATCCCTCATAGGCTAGCTCGAGAGATTGTGCCTATTGGTTGCTACAACCGGGTCTCCAACAGACCTGTATCAAAAATTCTGATTCCTTCTAATGGATTAGAACGCTCAAGCAGTGATGCTTACAGAGCAGGTTTAAAACTGATTTATGTTTATCTTCTAACACTAACTATAGAAGCACCTACTCTATGCTTAGTGCTAGTCCCTATTTATTGGCTCTATAGCTTACTACTAATATGCAAACATGAATAGTCACTATACTTTAGATAAGTATAGTGACCACTTGGCTCTCTGCCAGCCCTTCTACTTCAGGTACGGTCACATCACCTACTTTTGTACCCAAGGTACAGCCACACCACATTGATGTGGCAGGTGTGTATGTACAATACACACCTTCGTGTAACCCCATTACAGTCAGGATGACTACGATGAAGGCCTAAAACTTTTCAGTGATTCTTTCAAGGGCATCCATCGTAGCAATTGTTAAATGTAATGACTGAAGAGCTGGATGGTATAAAAGCAAACGGTGTTTGGGCAATCTTGGTGCCACCTAAGGGTGCACACATACTGCTAACATGTGAGTATACAAGACTTAGACGGATGCAAATGGTGACATTGCGAGATACAAAGCTTGACTTGTGGTTTGTATGAACGCACAAGCTGTTAAAGTTGATTACACATGGACATCTGCTGCGTCAATAATTTTGGTAGCGATAGTTGGTTGTTGTGCTCTTAAGGTGATGGTATGTACTGGAACGTCATGTCGATATACCAAATGCGTACGTCAAGGCCGAAAATCATGATCACTCGACATTTTCATAAAGGTGCCTAAGGACATGACCTTGGAAGATAAACAACTCAACATGCCAATATGGGTGAATAATAAAGCCGCGATCAAGAAACTCGAGTCCAAGCGGAGTATGTCAATCGGGAAGCATGTGGACATACGAATCAAGTTTATTCGTCATTATGTCCAATAATGTGTCATACAACCTAAGCTTAATATGTCCGAAGACATGATGGCGGACCAATTAACGAAGTTGTTGCCAGCACCAAAGGTGATTAAGATGCTTGAATGTCCAGTTGAAGGCCGTGCAGAATGATGTCGATGTCAGAATCAATAGCTTCCAACACTCCTCCGGTCATGAGGGTGTTGAAGTTGTACTGCAAGACCTCTTGCAGGTAAAGTGAAACCTCTCTTAATTGACCAATTTGTTGAACTTGACAGATGGGACAGGGTGTTTAGGACGTATGGACGATATATCGGATAAGTAGATAAGACCGTTGCATGATCGTTGCATGGGATAGGGAGCTAAGGACGCTACATGCGATGCACAACTAGACCAGGTTCAGTGCAGTGCAGGAAACTGCTTGTTATAATGTTGATTGACAAAGCTAACATCAATATATATTTTACTTTTACTTCTACCTTCTGTGCAACAAGTGGACTTCCAGCATTTTCATAGTCAAATTACACTGACATAGTAAATCGGGCAACCTCATGTACACTGACACATGTAGTAGTGGTGGCAATTACTGAACAAGGACATTTGTTTCGCAAATGTAAACAGAAAAGCTGCTTGTTTTATAAAAGCTACAGTATTCAATATATCATAAGAATTTTGCTTCAACTACATGTAGCTACAATATGTATGTCGACTAACGACTTACCATTCGTTACGCACGTCCCTCCTTATTTGCCGGCGCGTTGGCTGATATCATGGCCTACATCAGCCAATGGGATGAGTGCAGTGAAGTTTACCTATTGAGGTCGTATTCCTAGATCATTGTTCCATAGAATAAGAATGTCGAAATAATAATCACACTTACCTCGAATAATAATGTCAATGTTGTGAAACAGGCTTACCCTGTTACATAACATTGCTTTTAAATTCTGCAATTTTAGCCAAAAGTCATTGAAGAGACGCAATCAGCGTACTTATGTTTAGCAGGGTCCGATATTGTCATGCGTATTGCGTTAGAAGGTGATATATGGCAAGTTAGACGTGTATAGACGGTTATCAGCGTTCCATATAGCTTTGGACTCCAATTGAATAGCTAGATGATATTTTCAGTTTTGTTCTGTTTTGCAATTGTAATCATTATAGTCGGTCACTGGCCAGCTAGTTATCTTATCCTAGGCTTCAGTCAGGCAATCTACCATATCAATATTATACACATGCAACGAAAAGGTTGTGCTCGAAAGCTGTGTTACTTTAGTCATGTTGTGTAGTGATACCATGACAGTATTATATTAGTTTATATTATATTAGTTGATCGGATGATTTATGACAGTTCAACACAGACTTTTTCGTTTTGGTAGGTTGGACATAACAGCCAAAATACGGTACGTCTGTGACCATCACTTAAGAGCGGAATCTTCTCCAACTAATTTAAAAAATAAGACATGGATTTTCGACGGATTTCACGCTGCAAATCATGGACTCATTGTGGAGACCATTTGTAACAAAGTGAAGACATACTGTGCAATCTTTTCATTCAATCTTCAGCTTTACCTGTATCTCGACAAATTAAAGTAGACGAACGACCTTTTCATGCTTCAGCGACATAGCTCTTCTTACCGTTATTAAGGACAAAAACGATATACAGCATTCCAGATGCTTGGCGTTCTCGCCATATGTCGTCGTCATCCCCAATCGCATTCTCGGCGCAACGATTCACCACTGAATGCACGCAGTGCATACAAGTCGCGAATACGTTAGACGCACTGCCAGCAAAATAATTACTAAGAAGCAGTAGTTCTCTAACAAAACGAAATAGCCAGCGCTAATGCTGCCTACCTGGGACGGACGAGTTATAAAAGTGTATGTATAGAAACAGTTTTGCAACATGGAGCATAGCGACATGTCTGACAAAAATATCGTCCCGATGGGAATAGACGCTGTGAGATCTGGTTTTGGTCCCCCCTTTTCCAAAAATCCGTTCCTGATAACCTGTATAAGCCTATTATTTCTGTATCTATTCAATCGGAGTGAGTCTTGACACTAGATTTTTGTAGCTGGCTACCTTTCTCATCAAAGAGCCTGCAAAACAAGATGTTTGCGCCTAGCCTGTCCATCGGCAAGGGCTCCGAAAAATTAATGGCAAGGACGCGACATATTACGCGTGGCAAAACGGCTAACAGCACGCAAGTGCGGGCTGGTCCTGCCCGGATTTAATCCGTCGTGCACTCGCTTTTCGCCTTACTCGCCTCTCTGCCAGCCAGCCTAGCCTCGCTTTGACTCGCTTGGCGAGCATCTCGAAAAAAGCAGAAGAGACGCCGCTCAGGACTTCGAGGCTGAGCAAAAAAGCGAACGAACATTGGTCCTGACCCAAGTGGCTTCCTCTTCCGTGGGCCACTTAACACCCTGCAGCCTCTGTGTCTGTCCGCCGCGCATTTACCACCTGAGCATATAACGCCCGCAGGCAAAACCAACCAACCGACTCAACGCAAACCGTAAAAGCCAACAACCCTCACTCGGTCACACAGCCCCAATCACTTGACCACCTGTCTGTTACACTTGCTAGTTCACTGCATTTTCGTGTCATAGTTGACATGACCGCCGCATCAGACTCGTCGACCGAGCCGCAGCACGAGCCGGCACCAATGGACGCCACCTTCGACGCACCGGTTTCTACTGAGCAGCAGGAGACGACACTGACGCCCAGAACTGGTGAGCTCTTGGACCGTGTGGTCACGGATGTTAGTCAGGCCTTTCAGTCATCCCTTGTCCAGGTTCGTGCGTGTTAAATCGTTGCCATACGGGGCCATGCTTGCAACGCAGGAACACGAGGAATGCAACGGCAGAGCTCCAGCTCTTTACTTGTGCCGCTCGTTTGCTTCTCCTTGTCACGAGCAAAAGTTTCCGGATTTTAAAATGCGATCAAATCACTGACGATAAGTTTGTTTCTGTCTCGACTTGTCCTCATGGCACATTATGCATTTTAATACAGGTCGTATCGGACATTGGACGCGAATACGGCGTTGAGCCCAGCTCTAAGTTTGCATGGGTAAGTGTTAATGACATTTGTCAAATGTTTATGACGTATTGTAGAGGTTCAAATCTTGGTTATCGTCAACGGTGGACCTTTGTTGAGCTAGTCACGTTGCACCAGTTATACAAACTACCGGCTGGTGCGACTTGCGACTTGTCTTTTGCTCTGACTGACTGTTGTGATCTGTTGCCCCTGAACACTGGCTATGTTTATAAAGATGGAGAAAGGCGGTGCTGCTGTTGGACCTGGCGACAAGCAGCTGCCCAGGAACGACGACGGCGAGGGCGACACTGACGACGTGCGCCGCGTCTTGCGCGAGCTCCAACTCTCGCGGCTTCAAGTTCGACAACTGCAGCAGGTCGTAGACGACTTGCACGACGATCAACGTGTTTCAAAGCAACGCGTGGCACTCTTCAGTACGTTGTCGGCCAAACTGAAGCGTGATCTTGTAAGCGAAAGACTGGCGCTTATGGAAGCTAAGAATGAAATTAAGGAACTGCGACGAATACGCAGCGGGGATGATACTGGTTCAGGTGGTGTAGGTAGTCGATCTCCACAGTCTATATCGCTGCAAGAACAAAATGATGATCCGTGGAACTCGCCAAACAAACCCATTGGCGGCTCTGGCGGTGTCACTGGATCAGGTACGACCGAAGGGCCAAATCTTATGGGTTTTAATTTCTATCCTTCGGCATCGTCTAGAGGTGCAGGTGATCAGGAGGGCGCTGACAACGATGATTCTCCATCAACTTCCTCGAGCACACAGACACTCCGCAGCACTTTAATGGGCCAGTTCTTACCGTCTGCGTTGCTGGATTCACCTCAAATGACACCTAAAGACGGCAGGCCATTTGCGGTTGACATACTTAACGAGGAGAAAGTACCGCCTCCTGTTTTTCAATTGATGGACGATATAGAATCACTGTCTCTCACATCACCACCACTGCCAGAGGCCTCGTCGACGCGTTCGACTGGACAGCAACAATGCACATACGACGGTACAGAAGACGAATCAAAGGAGACAAGACAGAATGACAGTGGTAGGATGTCGACGCTTTCAGCAGTTTCACCTTTAAAAGTGTCCATGCTGTCGGAGCTTTTCGACGCTATTCCGGTCGAGGAGTTGGAAATGGTTTTGATGCGTGTTCATGGTGTGGAGTCTGCAGCTATTGACAACATATTGAGTTCACATCCAAGCTTTAATCCAGCCATTGGAGCTGGAGGAAGAGCAGAAAGCGGCGTATCGATGGCGTCACTATCGCCGTCTCTGTCATCTTCAGCTGGTCAGAGCAAGACGAGCTTGCACCGCAGCAGCCAAAGCGTAACGAGTGGGCCTCCGCCAGGACCTTCTGGCAACCGGAAGACGGAGATTTGCATGTACTACATGCAAGGCAAGTGCAATAAGACAAGGCGTACGTGTTCATTTGCTCACGGTGAGAGTGACCTGGCTCGTTCTACCGGTTCGAGCTGCGGTGGTAGCAATAGCAAGCAGGGGCTTACCTACAAGACTCGACTTTGCCAAGCTTATGAAAGTGGCACATGCACTAAGGCTCGTCGTGATTGCCCTATGGCTCACGGAGCGAACGACCTGCGCGACGGAGGAACCGCAAGCGGCACTATTGGAGGCAGTCAGCCGACTCTGCCTACTGCAACTCCTCGATTGCAGAGTTACAAGACCGAGATGTGCTACTATTTTTTGAAAGGTAACTGCAACTACTCGAAAGAGGATTGTCGCTTTGCACACGGTCAGAATGACTTGCACACGGTGGAGAGCAATACGGCGCAGATTGCTGCTGTATCCAGCGCTGGTTTTGGTGGCGACTATGGCTCTACATCACCCGTCCCACCGCCGCCAGTAGTTACGATGGAAAAGCAGCTTCAACTGCAGTATCAGTATCAGCAACAATATCAGCAGCACCTTCAGCCGTCATCAATGGCTTCTTTCCAGCCCCAGCCTCCTCCAGCTCCGCAACAGAGTTTCGTACCTCAACACCAGATTCAGTTGCAGCACTCGTCGAGAGGAGCAGGCGGAGCTGTGCATTACCAGTTCGGCTTCCAACACCAGCAATACGAAATGACGCAGCAGCAACAACAGTACATGCCACCCCCCGGTCAATACCGCTATTTGAAAAATGTCGAGGACAAGCGTCCAGCATCAGTTGGCCGTCCACCTCGACGAGATTCTGGTTCATCCTGGAGTAGTTTTGATGCAACGGGGCTGCCACCGTCGGAGTATTGAACGGGGCTGCCATCGTCGGAGTATGAAACGGGACTAGGTTGAGTGAGTATCAAGCTCTATTCTCGCTGCCTAGCCCAGGCTTATAGCCGTTTTCTGCATTTTGGATTACATTTTTGGACTTTTGGATTGTGAGATACTCTCCCCAAGTATGTAGCTTAGCTGCATGGTATGATATTTGATATGAATTGCCACGGCTTGGTCGCGTACATGCCTGCGCCTCCTGTCCACTACTCTCAGCAGAACCTCAAGCTCAGAAGCGAACGGAAAAGACGAAGTGAAGCTTAAAAATATAGGCGGAAAAACTATCATTGACAAGCACAAAATAACAAGACAGCAGCATGCTAGAAGTAGTAGCAATATAGTAAGTACATTTGTAGAAAAGCAAGCGCGAGGATGGATGGATTCGCCCATTATATACGATAGAATCATGCCTGCTGCATTTTACGTGATGAATAATCAATACTTCTCCTGGAGGCACTAACATTTACGCCATGTCATTACAACTAGCTTGTTATATAAAAGGTGTTTACTTTCAAGCTCTCTAGCTACCGAGTCAGTTGCTTAATGAGCGTCACGTTCGTTGTCGCGGAGAGACTCTTCACCAGTTGAGTTAAAAAGTGTTTGCTGTTGGAATGACGACAAGCAGATCAATAGATCGTGCACATTGACTTGCATCGGCACGACAGCCCCGTTTACAACCATCCGCACCGTCCGATAGTAACTGTCATCGACATGTTTTTGCATGTTCGGGTGCTCCTCTTTGTCTTCGGAGCCTACCGACCGCTTTCGCTTGAGTCCCGGCACATTTTTCAAGAACCCAGTTCCAGTCACCGATATGTCACCGTCCAACCGGTTGCTTTGCCTGCAATCTCCCTGCAGCAACACTTGATCTTCTGATGTACTAGTGACAACTGAATCCTTCATTCTTCGACGTCTCACCGGCGCAACCTTCTTGACGTACACATAAACCTCGCATTGGAACGGGTCGCCCGTCTTGCGTTTGAGGTAGTTTTTGTAGCTCCTGGCCACGCGATTCTCAAAATTCTTGGGCGTGATCTCCACAAGCTCCGCCTGCTTCGAGTGAGCCCCCGGGCGCATGTAAATCGCCGTGTCTTCACGCACATGACGTTCGCCCTGGAAATTGCCCAGTGCCTTATCCGTACACGAATCCGTTTTCGCGCGAAATACGTCCAGCCCCTCGGACAAGAGAAATCCAAACGTAATAATTGCCAGATGTTTGCGGGACGTACGCGACACGTCTCCGATCTTGATAGTTAGTAGTGCTGTCGCTACGTCCGGTACAGTCCGGCGGTCGACCTTTAAGCCAGTGGAGCTCATGCTTTGAACTCTTATTTACGAGTGAATACAATGAAATGGCAACATTTGATTGGCTGGGAGTTGCAATTTTAGTAATTTTGACTGAGAATTTCTCAACTTCATAAAAGATGAATCCAAAAGTACGCGACCTGTACAAGCGCTTCCTGTTCGTCGGACGTGACTATCCACTAGGACTAGCTTACACACGTGAAAAAGTGAAGGATGCCTTTTTTCAAAATCGTAAGCTTACGGATCCTGTGCTTATTAAGAAAGCAATCAAACGTGGACGCTGGATGGTGCGTGAAATGGTCGGCGTTATCCAGCTTAAGAAGTACAGGACGCTTAATAGCCGCTACACGTCTGAGGACTTGCGCGAGAAGCTGCGGGCCATTGAAAGTCGTCGAGTACTATAGAACAGTGTAGCTGTATAACAAGAAAAAAATAATGAAGCTGACGGATAATGATGTGGAACTTAATATTGAAAACGACAACCCGGTCTTTGAGGCCAAAGCCTCGTTAGACGCACTCTTCTTGACGCATTTGTATCATAAGGTTTCGGTCACTATTGATGTGACGTTCATTGAAGATACTATTGGAAAAGTAAAAGTTGAAACGGAGTTGATATAGTCTGTGTTAAACCTAAGTGTAGTTCAGTGAACAATGACTTCGTGTGAGAATAAATCCATGCTATTGTTTGGTTGTTAGAACAGTTCACGTGATCGTACACCTTTTTATCTCTTTCCAATCACCCCGCAAGAGTCGTCTTTTTGTGCAGATTTGTCGGGGGATTGCGTTGACGCATTGACGTACCATACAAGCCACTAGTCAGAAGGAACTGGCAAATCCGTGAGCAAAGTTTGCAACAGCGGTAAGATCTACACTGTCTCAGCTTAAAGTTATCGTCGCATTGCAAGAGCAGCAACTTGTCGACGGTAGCCACCGACGTGTGTCGTGCCGTCTGCCAGATAGTCGCACGAGTGTTATGTTGTTGTTTCGAATGTCCACGGCTCTCTCTCTTCTAAGTTGTACTGATTGTTGAATTCATCCCCTCTACGACTAGACCGCCATGGTGTTTATCTCGCTGGAAGACGTCATTGAAACAAACAATTCCATCCATGCTGACAAGTGCAATACACAACATTCCGTCCATCCAGAAGCTACACCCCGTGTGGTAGTGACCCCAGGTTCACCAACCAAACAGCAGGGTATGCCACTTGCACGTGCTGGATTCTTTTCAATTCAGCATACACCATCGTCGCTGCTGCTGTACGTCTCGGACAGCGTCATTTGTCAAAAGTGGGTGCTTAGCAAGACTTCAGATGATTGTTCGAAACTACGCAAGAACATCCGACGAGTTGGAAACGATTGCAGAGACCCTGCGTGTTGTGGCCCTGTACAGCGCCTGTCTTTTAAGATCAGTACACGCCGAGTATGGGGCTCGCCAACCAATACTAGCAAACAGTATGATGAATGTAATGCGTTCCAGACGTATTTGAATGACTTGGTGCAAGCCGTTCTAGGACGCAATACGGGATGCCAGACCATGAAACGGACACGACACCTTCTCGAGGATTTTCTAAACATTGCATATCATCGTGCAAACGCTATGGATTGCGTGCTCTACCATAAAAATCAAGCAGCTTCATTGACGGTAAAGTCAATGAAGCCGTGCCAAGTCGGCCGAGGCTGCGATGACAGCATCGAGTGCTTAATCTGTTGCGGTGATCTGGCGAATGATAAGACGTTGCGTCTGCCGTGCGGCCACAAATACCACGCAGGATGCATGCGTGTATGGTTTAATGTCCAGCAAACGTGTCCCGTGTGTCGCCTACATCTCGACATACGAGTCATGTCGGAATAGTCCTGTCAGTCATTTGCGTGATGTGAAGATAGTCGAATGGTTTCTGCGTGAATGTTAAGAGAAGAAAACAAGCATACAAGTTGTTCACCTTGTAGATATTGGTGCAAGTGCGAGCTGGCTTAACGATAAGTTGCTTCTTAGGTACCGAGCACTCAATGGGCGCCAGAGATAGAGACTATAGATGGGATGCTGATAGCTTTGAGACGCTTGAGGTTATTGATGATCTCTATAGGGTCGTTCTTCTTAGGTTACGTTATAGCATCACTGCCTCTATTTCGCTACCTAGGTGCTGCTTTCCTCATTTGGGGTACAGTTTTCCCGTCTTCCTCATAATACGACGTTCCGTACGCCAGGAAAAACTCCTCGCGCACTGCGACCTCCTTCCACGTGACAATGTACAGCTGATTCAATATGATCGGACTTGTTGTGTCTTGCGGATTCTCAATCACACAGCCGGGCACGAGAATGCAGTTGTTGTAAAATCCAGATGCATCCCAATAAACGTCCGCAGGGTATTCGTAGACACGATCATTCGGAAACCCACCTACTGATCCATCCGCGTCCACTAAACCGTCAAAAGGCATCAAGCGGTGGCCGTACTGTGTCTGAAACCTGTCCACATCGCGCACAGTGCCATTAACTACAACAAAAGTCTCTCCTATCTCTCCGCATCGTGCTACCTTGTTCAAGCCATCATGGTGCATTTCTTTCGTAATTCGTCTGACACCAAAAATGCAGACAACTGAAAACGCTGGCCATGCATGGGATGACAAGTTGAATAATCCTCTTCCAGCATCGGGAATACCGGAAACCGCGACACCAACTGTGCCATTATCGTTCGTCTCCTGATACGTGACTGTTTTCAGATCAACTTTCTTAAACTGCAACTTCGGAGGCTTTGGAATGCGTCGCTTTACGGCAGCCAGTTCCGCATCGGTAAGATCAAAGTGAGGAGAGCTAGAGGCTTCGCTTTCGGTGATGGGAGAAGAAGAAACGCTAATGCCCTCCAACTTACGCTTTTTCCTGGTCCAAAACATGGACACATACACATTAGGCTAATCCAAAGCCATCACTCAACAATGGATACAAACGTACTTGGCTTCCTTGTCGAACAATGCAGACATCTTCATCTGACGCGAAATCATGCTTTTCATGGCTGAAGAATACGCCTTCATCGGATTGCTTGTGGCAAGCACCTTTTGGCAAAGTTTGACCATGTGCACGGATGGGTTTGCCACCATATGATGGCGACAGCGATTGCAAAGCTCTTTTGTAATATAGCACAAATCAGCTATCGACTTGACTTTCGCAATCATTTCGCGAGCCATTGTATCTAACTTAAATACCTCAGTAAGCTCGGCAACAAGTGCGCTCGGTTTCACGTTGGACTCGTTTTCGACTTTCTTCAAAATCGCATCTGTCGCAGGACTATTTGCAAACTGAATCGTCTTCACTCTTCTAACCTTTCCAAATACAAATGCTGAAGGATTTTGACACTTCACAAACTCCATTTTTTTCCACATGTCGTCTAGTAAGGAGCGATCGATGTCAGAAACCGCACGCGCTGCTGTTGGATCAAGATCCCACGTGCACAAGAATGCATCTCGCAGCAAACTCAAAGAGTCTTTCGTACGTTTTCTCTTCTCAAAGATTGTATGCGACGATGATGTCGATGCATGCAGCAGCCAAGACATCATTGACTTGGTGTAATGGTACAAAAACATCTCACCCCCGCGTCGACCTCCCTTTTCAGACGATTCCCAATGATTATAGCCAAAATACTTCGTATTCAATTCAAGCACTGTGTCAAGTTCCTCCAATTCCTGAGGTAATGCGCGGCCTAGATAGATTTCCCACGGGCCCGGCTGAATATTGTGCTTCTTCATAAATGTCACAACCTCGGGAGGTGCGGATGGTTTAATGGGTGACGATGGAGCATCGGACACTAGCGATACCTCTCGCTGCAACATCTCAAACGTCTCGTCAATCTTGAGCATAGAGGCGTATTTTGAATCCACCGCGTTTTCTACTGGTGACGCGTACTGTAATCCCCACTTTGTCCAAAACTCAAATACTGCCTGGACATTCGACTTACAAATAAGCAAAACAACCGTGTCAACCATTAATACAACTAGCGCGAACACAAATGTAAGCAAAGACGTACATTTTGCTTTGCATCGCCTTTCAGTTTTTGCACCAGCCGGAACAGAATCTTTTCGAGGGACAGTACTAGTGCAGACTCACGCATCTTAGCATTACGGTCCTTCTGCGGACAATTTGCACGCACTGACTTGACTACATCGTGAGCAACATACACAATGCTCGCTTGTGCCTTAGATGACTGCATCAACTCCATACTCTGAGCCAACTTTTGGCAAATAGCATCGTGCAAATGCTGATGCCGAACAATAAATTTCGAGCAGGCCTACACAAAAAACATTTGATTGAAACATTGAATTACCCAATCATTTATTGTTTTTCATACGAGCGCCAGCCTTCTCACAAGCAACACAAAACACACCTGAATGGCCGATGGCTTAGTATCTAACTGGTCAATCAGTAAGTCAAATTCCAACATTGGATCACCAAACGTGTGCGAAATAGCCTTGGCCGTGGACTCCAACTCTTCCATCACTTTCATGCGTTCGTGCAACTTTTCTTCCATCTCTACGTTCACCTCCGACACAATAAACCCAATCACCACACCTTCTCGATCCGTGTACAGAGATTTAATCGAGTCGGAGCTTGCACCTGCATACAACACAAAACACACGGCATCAGCACTACCTGTTCTCCTTCAACATAACATGCCTCCTAAATTTCTCAAGCAGCCACACACCGTTCTTCCGTAATCGATGCAAACACTTGAGATCCTTCAGTGCCACTGGCACCAGCAAATACAGCGTAAAATTGAATGTAGAAGCCATAAATTGCACGCACAGTGCACACTCGTGCTTCTTCATATAAACTTTCATCTCCTCGCAGTTCTTTGCAAAAAACTTGCAGAAAAAACCCTTAAGTGGAATAGCAGACAGCTTGGCCTTAGTACCAACTGCTAAGCGGCGCGGAAAGTCCCGCAGCAACGCGCGTTTTTCGGCCGGCAGTCGTCCCACCAGATCAATCGAGCGGCCTTGAAACTTGACATCCAGCCGCCAATTATCATTCATTCTGGATGTGTATACAGCTTCAAAATGTATACAGCACGTTTCAATAGCTTCAACTTGTTCTTTGGCTTCTAGAGCTGCAAGAATAAGCGTCAAATAGAGCGAGATAGTGGCAAGACGCAAAGAATAATGCAGTGACTTGAAATGGCTACAGTAAAAGCTCGACACTAGATGACAAAGCGTCGTACTTAATGTAATGTGTCTATAACCACAAGAACTTGAGATCCTATATACTCAACGGCAGAAGAGAAGCAGTACAGATAGATAGATAGACACAGTAGAGAGAGGTCAGGTCAAGGTAGAGCGAGCGCTTTCCCGGCAGATTTGAGGCGACTGAGTAATATAGGAAATTGACCATTGGTGGAATTTAATACTATGCGCAAACCGGATTGGTTAATAATGCACTTTACACCATATGTACACGAAGAGAATATAGCTGTGCGCATAACACTTTGTTTGTATAATAGTATACATCTGTTGTGTATACATAGCCAGAATCTTGTCCGACGTATTTATTAGATAACACACCTGGTGAGTGACCGACCATCTGTGGCTTCATTAAGCTGCTGACATTCTTAACATACATGTTTCCTTTCTACTGTGCAAACGCGTTTATAACTTGTCAAATCCCTTCGCTATCATTGCAGTAACTCTCCTTAGCTTGGCATCTGATGGGTGCTAGATTTTATACATTACGGCAGGTGTATAGCATCAAGTGAATCATGTCGGTCTTGTGTTTAAAGCAAGTTTGATCGTTTTCCTGCTGCATGTATCGAAAGACCACAAGTAGGTAGACAATGTGTTTATTTCTTGATCCTCATAGAGAAATGGCTCAAATCATATTCATCTTTGCCCTCTTTCCTTATCTACGATACAAGAATGCAGCTGGTCTTGTACGTCATCGCTTGGTTTCCACATAAAACAATTCTTGCCGGAGAAGAAACACCATAAATGGAGATAGAACAGTCGAACTATAATACGATGTCAAGAAAAATGTAGCCGCAACTGTCGACACTTTATGCTTCTTCGCCATCCTGCACAGATAAAGACGACAGTCAAGTCCCTTGGAAAGTACTATGAATTACAGACAAGCACTGCTAAACGCACCTCAATGTCGTCGTCACGCCGGAAATGTTCCATTCGCTCTCGCTTCACCGGTGGTTCGTTACCATTTTGTGCGCGGTTCAACGAATTACTTCGTTCCCGTTTAGCGCCAGATGAGCTTTCCTTGGACACTTCGTGGTCCAAATCTTTCTCTTCATCTTGCGTCTTAAACTCACCATCTATCTCACAATCACCAGATTTGAACGTCGTCAAGACTGAAGCATCCACACACTCTTTGCTCTTGTCGGTGGCGTAAATGCCAAGGATACCCTTGACAAGCGAGCCCGTGCCCTCAACCGCCAAGTCCAAATGAGCCACGCCTGTCTTCATAGCAGCGCGCATTGTTCGCCAGCAGACCATATCATCCTTGTCTGGCCAATATTCCTCTTCAATACCATTCTCGGGGTCCCAAGCTTCTTTAAAGCGGTCTGTATACGCTTTTATAGAAACCTCAGTAGCTACCATTTCAAAAACAATCATAGAACGCAACGACCGTTTAACGACACCAGACAAACACGTTCCAAACTCCTTCAAACCCACCTCGCTCTTTGCCCTTAATCTTCTCCAAGATCTGTGATGGTTTTGAGCTCTCCGACAAAATTTGCTCCAGCAATGGGGAGGTTAGCTGCCGACGAGCACGCTTCGCTAATGGGTCGGAGGTAGCTAAAGACTCCTCATCTCTCATGGTGGGATATTTCTCGTATCCCGGGCACTTTTCCTGCTTCCACTTGACCCAATTGCGCTCACGCTCGAGAACGTACGCCACCATTTCGCTAAATCCTTCGCCATCAGATGGGGTTTGCTTCAGCAATGCAACTACGCGCTCAGTCAAATCAGCTAATTTTGACTTCGGCGTACTACTACCAACAGGGGGCTTTACTCTAGCCATGTCGTTAAAAAGGATAAGAAACTGTGTCAGCATGCTTTCTCGCAGAATCGGGTCACGCAGCTGCAGTCTAAAAAGACGACTATTAGTTAAATACTTGGGCTGGAAAAAGTGTTCCTGTGAACCCTCCTCGGTTGCACCCTTGCTGGTGTCATCACTTGTCTCGCGCATCGTAGCATCCGCCAAGCAGACAGGACCGCTACTTAAGTCCCGTGACCGCTCCAAATCATCCGGTGAAAATGCATTGCCTTCAAACGCTGCCAATACTACGTTCAGTTCAGTGAACTACGTACATCATATATCAATGAAGCAAGGTCAATCATCAATTATTCAAGTACATAGCTATTAACTACCACACGTACAAATTTCTCCCAATTCTCCGCTGACTGGACTACCATCTGATGCTCGCGAAAAAAGCTCTGCAAGTCCCAGAAGGTGCGATAAAGATTGTAGTCGACCGGGCGAGCGTCAGCGCTAAGATCGCTGTCAATCTGGCAGCAGAAAACATGCTACTGTTAGCTATTACTCTTTCCTGCAAGGTGCACTGCATGCAAGAAGAATCGACTAATGATCACCTCCAGTCTAGGGAAAATTTCAGCAGCCTTTGCGGCATCTGAAGCCTCAGCCAAATCAAACGCGTCTTCATCTTCAAACACGGTCACATTCGTCACGTTTGCCTTGCCCGTAAGATTGACCGCAGAGCGCTCGGATAGTGCAAACGTAAACGACAAGAAAACTAAGATCTTGCCGCAAAATACGCTGTTATGAGTCTTGGACAAGCGACGCAGCAGAGCATTGCACATTCGCAGCAGGCACAGCGACGCCTTGGTAGTACGACCCTTTTCAGCAATAAAATCAGGCTGCTACGAATACAACAATACATTGCGTCAAGCGTCTTTAATCTCAGCAACAGACCGAAGCTGCAACGAATAAGAGACAAAGACGGCCACATACCATTGTGAGTTTGTCCTTGCGAGACTCAAGTAGCTCCCATATTTTCTCGCATGCATTGATAGTCTGTCCTTCCATTAAATCCTCTAACACCTTGTATGGCGTGCTATTGACGAGGAAGTTGCTGGTCACACCTGCAATACACAAGTCCAGTAGTGCTGGGATGCCTACACTGTTAGGTGTAGCATGAGCTTCCGTCATTAGCTTCCAAGATAGCTTTTCCACCACTTTTTGTACCGCCAAGTCCAGCACATTCAGTGTAAAATCCTGTGGCCGCGGAGCCTTCAGTACATTCTCGACAGCCTGAAGTGTGTGGTGATGCAGTCGGCCTAGACGACAGAGCGCGTCATCGCAGGCAAAAAAATCACCAAAAGATTTCTACACAAAGAGACAAGAACAGTTCAAATCTGCATTAAAGACGTAGCTACGAGCATGGAAAGATAACACGAGCGGGAAAAAACAGGAGAACCTCTGCAGTCTTGGCAAGCTCAAGCGCCATTTTACGACTTGGTTCAAATCGGACCTTAGATGGTTTGATTGACACACGATATTTACATGAACTGCGCCAGGTCGTGTCGACACAATACAGCTGCTTTTCATTCTAATCTGCCTTTCTTTGTATGTGATCATACCGGCTCTGACGCCTATCAAACAAGTCAATCGCTTTAGCATGTTTGTGATAAATAGTGGCTGCAGTGACAGTACATATATGTTTTAAGCTTGTGACGAACGTTCCAGGATTTTGGCACACAGAGTACTAGTTTGAATTCTTTGTCCTTGAAAGCGCCAACTTTTTCTAGACTTGCTAGTTCTTTGTTTCGATTATAGCAGCACGTATGTTCACATTATAGCAAAAGCCAAAGGGCTACAATCGAATCCATCTTGCTTGGATTTAAAATTTGTGTCACACCCCAATCCATGGATTCTTAGTCTCATTGTCTTTTCTTATAGCGTTCTATTTATGTATAGAACCTCAACATAATTGCATCCAATTGATACGAGACATGCGAATTAACGACAGGAATCGTCGGATGCCTGCCACATACGTCACACGAATAGATCAATGGTATCACGGACATCTTCTTGCCATCATTTAAGTATCTACAGTAAAGACCTAAATTCGTTGTAATGGTGCAACAACTGACGCTCTTTTCCAACACGAACGCATCATTATCCTACGGTGCCTTGTCAACTGACACACCGCCCAAGAATTCTGTGCCAAGCCCTCGTCGCCGTCTTACTCAATGGTACATTAATATGGTGCTCATCAACTTTGTCGAATTTGCGGCTGAATCCTCCCGCGGTGTAGTATTGGCTACACTTTTCCTTTACACCAAGTCACTGGGCGGAGACTTGGCTTTTATGGGACTCTTGACGTCGCTCTTTTCAGTAGGTAGACTCATTTCGTCCACAATCTTTGGCTGGATGTGTGACCGCTACTCTTTCCGCTCGGTCTACCTCGTGTCGTCAGGTGTCTGCCTGCTCGGCAATCTCATCTACCTTATGGCCGACAATCATGTAACCGACAGCTTAATTGTGCTGGCTTCGAGTCGCTTTATCGTCGGATTTGGAGCTGGCAACCGTAGTGTCTGTCGTGCTAACGTCGCAGCCATGACAACTGTCAATCAGCGCTTGCGGTACCTCACAATTTTGGCGACGGTCGTGTTCCTTGGTTATGCATTGACGCCAGGACTTGGTAGTCTCGTGGCCGAAGTGGATGTGTTCTTTTGTGGCATGCACTTCAACAAGTTCACATCACCAGGGATGATCCTTGCGATTTTTAACGTGTTAACGATCGTCGCCATGCTGACCGTTTACGATTCGTCCATAGGCATCCATGATGGCCCTGTCGAGTCTCCGAACCTTTCTGCCATGAAAAATTCGTTGTCCCATTTGACGTCCATGCCCGAACGCATCGTGACCATTGGTACCATGGTGTTTATCTTTCTCAACTTCAATGCTCGTGGTATTCTCTCGGTCTTTGAGACGGTGAACATTCCTCTTTTCCTTCAGGTGACAGGCAGCGACCCTAATAGTGTCACCGCTGTTGTAAACGCCTCCCACTTCCAATTCTACTTGGGTCTACTGGGTCTCGTTACGTACTTCTTTATTGAATACTTCCGCAAGTGCATCACTGATGTCAGCTGGGTGCAACTTGGATTCGCGTTTCTGCTCTCGGGAAACATTTTACTTGTTCTGATGCCAGCTTCTCTGACATTTGGTCGTCTTGCAGTCGCGGAGCTTTTGGTGTGGAGCATCGGTTGCCCGATCACGACTGCGGTTGTAGTGGCTGCATTCTCCAAGCTTCTCGGTGGTCGGCCGCAGGGTACGCTTATGGGTGTGCTTGGCTCTGCTGGTTCCGTTTCGCGCATTATTCTACCGCTTTTGCCTGCAGCTATTCCAACGCTGACTCCAGTCTTCCTGATCAACATTACGCTGTGTGCTCTCAGCGTTGCAATGCTGTACTGGTATAGCGGTGTGGTGTACAGGACGAAGATGGCGATGGTCTCAGACGTTGAAAATGCATTTCGGACTGCATCTCCTGTGAACGACTCCCGTTCACCACTAGGTTCTGACAATGTCGATTATGATCACAAGTAAGGCTATATAACAAATCGTGGATAATTGTACAACGCCAAAACACGTGTGCTGTTAAAACTGTTTTCGGGACCTTAAACCTGACAACTCCTCTCCATCCATTAGTGAAGGTACTTATTGTAAGTGACCGCAGCTTCTTTTTTGTTAAACATAGTCGTTGACATCTGCATTGTTACTTCGACTTCATTAATCCATCCAGACACGGCTTACGTTACGGTACAGTACGTAATGGTCCGCGCAAGTCAACAACTCTGCTGCTCCACATCGTGTCATGCAACGGTATGCTACTACGGCTAGCCTCAGCAATAAGTCACTTGATTGAGACTGCAGCGAAGGCTTTTGTGTGGTGTGGCCCTGACCACGTTCATCCCTGTATTCCAGGGGTGGCTTGGGCACGTTGGGTGCTCACATAGCTTTTTTGGTTAAACGTGGTTGTTCGTCGATGTTTTCGGATGCACACTTGTGTCGCTCGGGACATCTGGAGTTGTCGGCTACCTGTCTTGTAAGCGAGAGCTTGTACTTAGTAGCAAATAGTTGTGCTGTATGCCTTCTACAAGACTTTTTGTCGTTTGGAGTCGACAGGTGCGTGGCCACCTTGACACCACCCCCCACCAGCACTGAACTTTCATGGCTATCGTCTACAGTCGACCATCTCGCCTACGCACCTGCGCCTGGATTCGGCAGCCTTGTACAGCACCTGCATTAGTATTTAGCGTCACGTGGATCAGCGCACAGCACGCAGCTCCCTTGGATCAACTCACATTATGCAGCGTCGTCTTTATCGTGTTGAAAGTCTTCTTAATCGTAGGTTTGGTTGCGCCGTCCAATGTCCGTTAGGTCAATGACGGCCTCTTGAGATTGCAAACGACATCGATCACCATTAACGCACAAAAACACAAAGCAAAACAATTTCGCCACTTTGTGGACATGCTTTTGCACTTGAACGTAAAAGGTGTGATGTCAGTCTTTGGCACGCTCAATCCCTCTCTCCTTCTAAAGGCAAAAGAACGGGAAAGGAATGGAGAATGATGAGCGCTGTCGTAAAGGCCTCCAAGTTCTAGTTTTTTTCGTGGGTTTGCACAGGATAGTGCCGTACATGTAAGTTCTATGCTTTCGGAACAGCATATCTGATGGGTGTGATGCAGCTGGGCTCCCTCTTCTGCTCGATGATGGTAACGCGGTGTTGGCGATTGTACGCTGACAGCAGCAACCAAGCCGTTAATTTCGCTAAACTGGTTGTCCCATCGCGACCGCAAGGTACGGCCTTCGACGTGAACGTCCGAATGGAACCATTTGGATCGGCCACCACTGTCTCTCGCATTTCACTCCCTCTCATCCCTGCGGGCCATCTCCACGCTGGCGCTATTCTTACGCTATATGCCTTACGTGGCGTGGTGCTGTAGTGTTGTTACTGTCTCTTCACGAGACATGTTGGTTCGACATTCACAAAGCTTATCCTTCTAGCATCTTCGTCGCAAAAGACGACTCCAAACTCTCAGAATTGTAGCATCGACGTATCTTAGGAAGGAACAGTTGCATAAAGAGACCCTTAAGACAGCAATTGCTAATATCCATCGTGCTTTTTCATGGTATCATTACTACCTTATTGATTCTCAAACCTTCATCGTCTTACGAAGTAAAAAATGCCCGTGGCGCTGCCGCACCCTTTTCTATAACATAGCATAGTATCCGTGAAAGAAGCTCGTATAGCTGCGTATGGAGTGAGAGCGATAGCGATAGGGACTTTTTTAGTGGAGACATGTCGCGTCACAGCAGAGATTTTGGGTTCATGTGCACGCAGTGATTACGAGATACGACGTGAGGTGGACAATGCTTTAATCTACTGTTAACGGCTGTTAGCCGCCATTGCCCACACCCACATCATGGTTACGTCCAAGACGGAGACACTCGAACAGATGGCGAAAGGCCGGAACATGTTCAAGATGGGCAAGGCCGGAACAAACTTGAAGATACTTTTTACGTCTCACTTCAGGATCGTGTGGGATCAGTTACCTGTCTCTACTGTCCAGGACTCTATTTTCTTTTAAACCTCCCTGCAATCATAGCGGTCACTGATGTCCCTTACTCGCATCGACATCAATTCCAAGTCCTTGAAAACACATGATGGTCGATATGTACGCGCACCATAACGGTCTTTACTCTGCATATGTAGACCGAGCATCATGAACAGATAAATGTGTTTTATCTGCGTTGAGATACCTAATGAACATGTTTTGTAGCACTTTTACTTGAAGATAAAGCCAAGCCAAAGTTCTTGCGAGCAAATAGAAGTGCGGACACATGCCGACGTGTCAAAAGCAGCCGGTTATCATCTGCAGAGCCCAAACAGACCCTCTATTCAGCCAAGATTCGCTCCGCTAGTAAAAATATCATTCAAGATTGCCAAATGTTTTTCGTAATCTTGCACATCATGTAGCATAAATCAACCTTTTCTTGCAGTCTCTACACCAGGTCCTTTGCCTCAACGTTTGCCTACCGTTGCGTTCTTTTTGTGTCTAGGAATGAATGATCTTCCTAGCGCCGCAGTTCGTAATTATGCGAGCTTAGCAGACAGACACTTTACCTTAATTAATTCAAACCTTACTCTCACTATGTATGGGAGGCGTCGCCCCGCCGATAGTCGTATCCGCCGATCCTAAGTGGTCGCTCATTCCGTGTTCTACCAAGCCAAGGTCAAGTAAAGTCTCTGTGTCAATACTACGCGACAATGACAGCCCTGTCCGCTCACGTTGGGGCCACATACGGTACTGCTGAAGTGCCAAAAACCTATAACGTCAGTCCACGGCGCCGTTTATCACAATGGTACATTAATATTGCCATGATCAATTTTGTCGAATTTGCGGCTGAATCCTCGCGCGGTGTTGTATTGGCCACGCTCTTTCTCTATACCAAGTCGCTCGGTGGTGACCTGGCATTTATGGGTATGCTAACGTCGCTCTTCTCAGTCGGAAGACTCATCTCATCTACAGTTTTTGGCTGGATGTGTGATCACTACTCATTCCGTTCGGTCTACCTCGTGTCGTCGGGTATTTGTCTCGTCGGGAATCTCATTTACGTCTTTGCCGACGAGCACGTGACCGGCAGCTTGACGGCCCTAGCTGTCAGTCGGTTTATTGTAGGGTTCGGAGCTGGCAACCGCAGTGTCTGCCGCGCGGACGTGGCTTCAATCACAACGATTAATCAGCGACTCACGTACTTGACGATGCTGGCGACAGTTGTGTTTTTTGGCTACGCATTGACCCCTGGACTTGGTAGTCTGGTGGCCAACACGGACTTTTTTGTTCTAGGTATTCACTTGAATAGGTTTACGTCGCCGGGCATGATCCTCGTGGTGTTCAATGCATTGACAATCATCGGCATGCTGACTGTGTACGATGAATCAATTGGTGCTCAAGATGGACCGGTAGAGTCACCAAGGACGGCGTCGACAAACAACACTATAAGTGATCCGACAGTAATGCCCGAGCGTATTGTGCACATTGGCGCTGCCGTGTTTATCTTCCTAAATTTCAACGCACGTGGCATCTTGTCGGTATTCGAGACTGTAAATATTCCGCTGTTCATTTCAGCGACAGGCAGTGACATAGAAAGCATAAGTGCTGTGGTGGACGCATCGAACTTTCAGTTTTATCTGGGATTGTTGGGCTTGCTATCGTACTTTTCGATCGAGTATTTCCGTCACAGCCTCCGAGATGTGAGTTGGGTGCAGCTTGGCTTTGTGATGCTGCTGGCCGGTAATATAGTGCTCGTTGTGGCTCCCACGGACCTTTCGTTCCCACAGCTTGCGACTGCCGAATTCCTGGTGTGGAGTGTCGGTTGCCCGATTACGACTGCCGTGGTCCTTGCCGCATTTTCAAAGTTGCTGGGTGGTCGGCCGCAAGGCACGCTCATGGGTTTACTTGGTTCTGCGGCTTCCGTTTCGCGTATCGTGTTACCACTTTTACCTGCCGCTATTCCAACACTGACACCAGTGTTCTGGATCAACATCGTCCTGTGTGCGCTGAGTATTGTGCTACTATGGTGGTACAGTCGGTTGGTACATAAGACTAAGATAGCTATGCTTGCTGACGTCGAGTATGCCCTCCGGATCGCGTCTCCCCCGAATGACCCACGATCTCCGCTTGGCTCAGACAAAGCGGATTTTCCTGACAAGTAAGGCGCTGCACAACTTTGCAGCTTGAGCATATCGCAAGCAATCGACACAAACGCTTTCTTTTCTTTGATTTTGAAGCTACGACTATAGTCACTTGCACTTGAACGTTCATCGCTCACCGTACATTCGTAAGCTAATACTGTACAAATCTCTACGCTCGCATGCCTTCTACTAGGCTTTCTTATGTTTAGATTGCAGCTATAAAGCTATGTCGCCGTAATTAAAGCGACTAGTGCTGGACTGCAGTTCGTGTGGCTTGCAGGCACTCAACAAACAGCTTTACTACTACAGACAAAGCAGCATTCCTCCACCTAAAACTGATGACCTTGACACTGAGTAGTCAAGCGAGCGGGTTCAATGCAACAACCTATTGTCACAAGGACGTTCTTATACATGTATCCTTCATACTCAGTTTCATGCTATAGTCAAACCAAAAGGATTCAAACGTTTTTGCCACTAATCAATTGGTATTGAGCAAAAACCATATGAACGATTCTTTTGCCGCTGTTATTTTTTACCAGCTTTTTCGTTTTCGCAGATGGCGTCGATCCATAACGCGTCACTTCAAATCTCGCCGCGTTTGTTCGGTCATAATAAAGTTGACATTGTATTATGCCTCTCCCAGTACCATCTGCGTGCAATCAATATGCAAATCATCACAGTTCTTTTGGTACGAAAGCTTATACATTCGTATCGGGAAACGTTTTTCAGCGGCAGCGAGCGTTTTGTTTTAAATCTGCTTTCTTCAAAAGCTCCTCCCACCGAGCACAGCTGTTACAATCGACAAAGATATTCAGTTGGAAGCAGACAGACTACCCGGCAATCACCCTAACGTGAGAATAATCAGCCGTGAGAGAGGAGAGTGATTGCCTCGCTAGACTTTCAACCATCAATATCTCACACATGATGCTGACGGTATTTGACGCAGCTAAGTATTGCGACTCAAGCACTGTATCTTGGTGTGATAATGATACGAACAAAGGTTACTTGCATAGGAAGTTGCAAGTGAAGGTCAAGATTTGTGTGTACTAACAAGATCAACTTGTTGCAAACTCGTTCGTACACACGAATCTTAAAACATCGTTAAAATTAGGCAATCAATGAACAATGTCTTGGTCACGGCATCATCAAACAATTGCTCTGAAAATTTACCAGATTATCTGATGGCACATCTTAACTAAATAGTTGATGGCTCTGCCGTTTGATCCCGGCTGTCACGAGCTGAGATTTTGCTATGCTGTGTGAGGTCACCCGTTTTGAAGTGCAACGTGTGAAGTGGATCCAAGCTCTAAAGGACGAAAAGGGTTTTATTGCTTACGGACCAGACAGCAGGCTCACGATATCTGGCACCCAGACGAAAGCACACCTCATCTGTCTATGCAGTAATCACTCTCTGGCCCTGCACTCTCCTCAAACCTGTATCATAGTGTGTATGTAAGCAGGTTGATTATTTTACAAGTGCCTGCTTTCAAACTATTTCAAGTATCGAGAGCAATCCAAGTTCATTTCCAGTTTTGCCGTGCGAACACAAGAGTGACACCACTACTCCGACATGGTAAATCAAGCATTGACATTTGGTGGCGGTGGAACGTCTTACGGCACAACGGTTGATAACAACAACAAAACCCCAGAGTCCGTACCGCTCGTGCTCAAGCCTTCGCAGTCGTCGCCACCGCGACGACTAACGCAGTGGTACACCAATATGTGCATGATCAACTTCTTAGAGTTTGCGACTGAATCCGCACGCGGAATTGTGCTCCCGACGCTGTTCTTGTACACGTCATCGCTCGGTGGTGACCTGGCTTTCATGGGGTTTATCAACGCGCTTTTCTCGCTTGGTCGTCTCTTCTCGTCTACCGCATTCGGTTGGATGTGCGACCGCTACTCCTTCCGCTCCGTCTACCTCATTTCAACCTTTATCTGCCTCATAGGCAACGTTATCTACCTACTTGCCGACAAGCACATGGCCAGCAGCTTAACTGCACTGGCTGCAAGTCGGTTTATCGTGGGATTCGGCGGTGGTAACCGCAGCGTGTGCCGCGCGGATGTTGCGTCTATCACGACGATCAACCAACGTCTGCCGTACCTTACGATCCTAGTCTGTGTCGTGTTCTTGGGCTACGCACTGACGCCTGGGCTCGGTAGTATCGTGGCTGAAACTGATTTGATCTTCTGCGGCTTACACTTGAACAAGTTCACATCCCCCGGCATGATACTAGTCTTGCTGAACATACTAACAATCTTTGGCATCCTCACGATATACGACGACAGCGTCACGGTGCAGGATGGACCGAAAGAAGAGGAGTCCGAGGACGGTTTGACGAGCAACACGATCAACGACCAGACGCTGTTGCCGGACCGGATCGTGAACATTGGTGTCTGCGTGTTCATCTTCCTAAATTTCAACACGCGTGGTATATTGTCTGTTTTCGAGACCGTAAACGTGCCGCTGTTTATCAAAGCAACGGGCAGTGACCCGGACAGCGTCAGCGCCGTAGTCGACGCGTCAAATTTCCAGTTTTATCTGGGTTTGCTGGGCCTGCTGTCATACTTTGCCATTGAGTATTTTCGCCACAACATCCGCGACGAGAACTGGGTACATTTGGGCTTTGCCACGGTGCTAGCGGGTAATCTTCTGCTGGTCATCGTGCCCAATGGCTTGTCATTCACACAGCTGTCGATTGCCGAATTCTTGGTGTGGAGTGTGGGTTGTCCTATATCGACCACAGTAGTGCTTGCAGCGTTCTCGAAATTACTTGGCGGGCGTCCACAAGGAACGCTAATGGGTCTTCTCGGCTCAACGGCATGTATCTCACGCTGTATACTGCCGCTTCTCCCCGCCATAATGCCGACTCTGATTCCGGTATTTTGGATCAACATTGTGCTTTGCGCAAGCAGCATTGCGCTTCTTGGGTGGTATACTGGTCTGGTACACCGAACAAAGCAAACGATGCTGGCAGACGTCGAGAACGCGTACCAAAAGGTAGCACCTTCGAACGAACCGCGATCACCACTTGGTTTTGATAAGGCGGACTAGGCGGGCTTTCCTGGGAATGACTAATGGGATAAAGTGTCACTTTCATACTTGGCGTTGTATTGTATGCTCATTGTCACTAAACGATCTTGAAAAGACATAGAATGCGATACTCTTTGCATAGTCTTTAATAGAGCTAGCCAATTTCAAAAAAATATCGGTATTCCGATGTCGTTTGACAATAAAACAACGTCTTTCCTTTTGAATATCGCTTTGCGCCACTAACAAGTAGACAAGACATTGATCATGGTGCAGTCATTCTATTAGAGTTAATACAGCTTTGTGTAGTGCAGTCTGCGGCAATCTTTCCGTTTTCCACCATTTCAAAGCAGTTTTTCAAAACCGCTTTGATTCAACATGTATAGCAAAGTTCATTCCAGCTAAGCTTTTCGTTATAGCGCGACACTGCAAACGATCTGCAATTTCTTGTCGCTACTACCAAAGCGTCAAAGATCATCAGATAGTACCCAATGACTCAGTCCTTCTCAACTTACGGCACTCTCAAGCTAAAACCAAAGTAGGGTCCAGTCCGTGGCGTCGTTTGTCACAATGGTACATTAATATTTCCATGATCAATTTTGTCGAATTTGCGGCTGAATCCTTGCGCTGTTGTATTGGCCAAGCTCTTTCTCTATACCAAGTCGCTCGGTGGTGACCTGGAATGTATAGGTATGCTTACGTTGATCTTCTCAGTAGGAAGACTACAGTTTTGGCTGGATGTGTGATCCCTACTCATTCCGTTCGGTCTACCTCGTGTGGTCGAACTATTCTGACTGGCACAAGTGGTCACACGTTCATGATGAACGATTTATGCATTAGCTGGCGAAGTAAAAAGCAGCGAGCCGTAGCCCTATCATCAACAGAAGCAGAATACATGGCACTTGCGGAAGCTATGCAGGAGGCTGTGTGGCTAAAAGTATTTTTGAGCGAGCTTGGAGAAATGACGATCGATGAAGCTATCATAATCTACGAGGACAACCAAGGCTCGATTGCATTGGCCAAGAATCCGGAGCTCCACAAGCGCACTAAACATATTGACATTCGTTTTCATTTTGTACGCGAGAAAGTCGCAGGCGGTCGAGTAATGCTGAAGTACTGTCCAACAAAGACATGAAGGCAGATCTCATGACAAAGCCGATCACGGCTTTGCAGTTCAAACATCTCCGAGACATGCTCGGAATCAAAGCGGCATGTCGCTAACGAGTCGAGTGGGAGTGTTGTCAAGACGTCTCGTTAGACATGATTACTTGATGATTGACTTATTGACTATTGATGCTTGATTAAATGATTAACGATTAACTTATTGATTGATTGATGATTGAAAAAAGTCTAAGAATAACAAAAGAGTTAAATAACTAAGGACCTTAATATATTCACTTTGCATTTTGCATCAAACTACCAAGCGTATAATCATCAGCATGAACGAAGAGGGTGGGGTGCAGTCAGTAAACGAAGTGGTCTTTGAACTTGAGGTGTATACACTTGTAGACGCTTAGGCGTCGGATGCTGAGAGCATCATGAGTAGTGATGATAATATCGTGAGTGACGGTGATAGCGAACAGCTATATGCACTCGTCAATGGTTTGAGTGGGGATGTTGAAGAGTCGGCTACACCCAAAAGTAAGTGCTCTCTTAGAGCTGGATGAGTTGTCCTTTGCCGAGTTTGACAGTGCCTTACAGGCAGGCGCCATCGCCGAAGTGGTCGTTATACGACCTGAGGATGAGTTGAACTCCTCATCGCTTTTGGATAAAGCAGTCCTTGAGGATACCAAGAAGGCGCTGAATGCGCGTAGTGAATAGCAGATCCTGAAGGATCCTTTGGATCTTTACTTTCCTTTGTTGAAGGAATATGGAGATGTTGTCTCCAGAGAACCTCCTACAGTGTAACCTTCGGATAGAGGTGTACGTCACGAGATTGACTTGGTTCCAGGAACCAAATATTGTGTGACGCGACAGTGGCCGCTGCCACGACAACTATGTGACGTCATTGACGAGTTCTTTCGTGAGAAGCACGCGGCTTGCATGGTGAGTGAGAGTAAGTCTCCTCACTCTACGCCCACGTTTTGCGTGAGGAAGCCTAATGGTAAGCGGCGAATAGTGCATGCTTACAATAAGCTGAATGCAGCCACTATCCCGGCTCAAACACCGATTCCTCGCAAGGATGTTCTTCAGAACAATATGGTGGGTTCTACGATGTACAGCTCTCGACTTAGTCGATGGATATTACCAACTGCTCATGAGAGCTAGTGATATCCCGCTGACAGTGGTCAGCACTCCGAGTGGTATGCTCTGGGAGTGGTTAGTGATGCCCCAAGGGCTATCTAACGCACCTGCAACGTTTAATTGTCTAGTGACGCAGTGGTTTCGGCCCCATAGGGCGTATGCACAGGCATACTTTGACGATATATTCGTTCATAGTCGAGCCGAAAATGGATAGACTGATGTGGAGAATCACATCGAGCACCTGCGAGCTGTGATCGATTGCATGAGGATGCATAAGTTATGCCAATATTGACAAATCCATCTTCGGTGCGGAAGAGATTCCCTGTTTGGGATGCTTCACTGGAAAGCGAGGAATCCGGGCATACCCTGTTAAGGTCAAAGCCATAGTGGATTGACCAGTTCCGAGGAACCAGAAGGACCTCCGCAAGTGGTTGGGTTTGGCAAATTACTTGCACAATTATAGCCACAACTATGCGGAAGTGGCTCGGCCATTATCAAATCTCCTGAAAAAGGATGTGGAATGGTGCTGGAACACCGAACACCGCGAGGCTTTTGAAGCCATTAAGGAGAGTCTCCTTCAGGCGCCAATTCTGGCCCTGCCTGATCGTGATCGCCCGTTTAGCGTCGTATGTGACGCTTCGGACTTTGCCATTGGCAGTGAACTTTTGCAAGTTGACTCTGAGGGTTGAGAACGCGCCATCGCGTTTGAGTCTCGTCAGCTCAAAGCTGCAGAGAAGAACTATCTCGCTCATGATATGAAGCTATTTGCGATGAAGTATGCCCTTGTTTAGTTCAGGGTACACCTGTTGGGCTCAAAGCCGTTTGTGATCTATACCGATCATGCGTCGGTACGCACAGCGACACAGTCGCCTCATCTCTCACAGAGAATGGCTCGTTGGCTCTCCTTTTTCGCGGAGTATAACCTTGAGGTGAAGTATAAGCCCTGAAATCAGAATGTTTTGGCTGACGCGTTATCGCGTAGACCTGACTATGAGCTTGCTCATCTCACTGTTGTGAGTTCGTCAGTAACGGATCGTATCCGTGTGACGTATGCACGCGATGAAGCATGTGTTGCCCTTATGCAGGCGCTGGGTAGCGCAGAGCTTAAAAACTAAGGTGAAGTTGTCACCACGTAATCGTGCGAGATTACATCGTTATGCACTGACTGATGGTCTGTTGTACTATAGTACAGGGTCGGATGACCAGCCTTGTGTTGTGGTGCTCATGATGAGGACCTCAAGTATCAGATACTTTATGAGGCTCATGATACACCACTTGGTGGTCATTTAGGTCGTGAGAAGACCTATAGCTCGATGAGCACCTATTCCTGGTGGCCTAAGTTGTATAAATGGGTTAGTACATACGTACGCACGTGTGAAACGTGTCAAAGGGTGAAGACCTCGCTTAGTATGGCTGCGCCTTTGACGAGTTTGCCTGTACCCTCGAGGTTATGGCAGTCCATCATTATGGACTTTGTGTTTGGCCTACCGCGGGATACGGCAGACAACACTGGGATTGTGGTCTTTGTTGACCGATTGAGCGAGATGGCTCCCTTAGCGGCAGTTCCGGACTCTAATGATTGAGAAGGAACAGCTAAGCTGTTTATGGATCGTGCGTTTCGACAACACGAATTGCAGTGGCAATCGTCTCGGATAGAAGCCCCTGTTTTACGGGTAAGTTTTGGACATCCGTCTTTAAAGTGCTGGGCAATCGACTGGACATGTCCACGATGGATCATCCGCAGACCGATGGTCAGACAGAACGCGTCAATCGGGTTATAGGTGATATGCTTTGCAGTGTTTGTGCTGAAGCACCCAAGACTGGGGCACGATGCTCCCGCTCATAGAGTTTGCGTTGAACAACGCGGTGCATGCCTCGGCAGGCTTCACCTCATTCTATGTGAATGGGTTGGTCAATCGCCGCGTTCCTTTAACGCTACCACCTGCCACTTCAGGGCTTAGTGAGGGAGATATAGCCGAAGGCTTGGCTGATATCGGCCCTGTTGCTATGCGCAAAAAGGTGGAAGCGTTTCTGTCAACGCGCTTTGACGTATTACGTCGCGTCAAAGACGCTATGACTGCAATCCAGGATGTTCAAAAGAAACAAGCGGATGCCAAAGGCAGAAAGAACGAACACGAGTTCAAAGTGAGTGATTTAGCTAGATTATTGTAATTTACCTACTCGTGCCGTTTCTGCGGTAATACAAAACCAAATTACGTCCACAATTTATTAGACCTTTTAAGGTCATAAGCAAGAAAGGATTAGCCTGTACGCTGAACCTTCCTAAGAAGATGCGAACACGCCCTGTGTTCTATGGGTGCTTACTTAAGCCATACCTCAACCCTGCCTCGGTGGACTTCGAGGGGTTGTCCCCACATCCCCGGACGAAGGAGGCGGGTAGTACTGCACCGGAGGTGCATATAGACGCTGAAAGCGTACCAGGAGGTCGATCTTATATCGCAGTTCGACTTGAAAGCGCTCAATCGCCTTTAAGCGATCCGAGGTCTCAGAGCGATCACGCTCAAAGGACCGACGGTGTCGATCAACACGGTCATCGAGCGATGACAAGTGAGACCTCGCCGATACAAGATCATCGCGCTCCAGGAGTGTCAAGCGACGCTCGATATCAGAGAGATAAAAGGGCAATGAGTCATTGACCTCCTCCGACGTTGATTGATGACCACGATCATCAACTGTTCCACGTGGAACTTCTCTTAGCTTGGTGTCGTCACCAGGGTCATACCCAGTACTTGGTGGAGTGGAGGGGTTACCTCCAGTCG